CAGCTAATAGGCTACTTTTGTTTAAATCTAGGCAACGGCAGCGCCATGAAATTATGCATGATTTAATATTTTAATAATATGCACTTTTCCAGCGACGTGGTGTCGAACCAAAAATTCTTGGAAGCGTTCGTGGCTGGTGACGGCGCCGGCGCGAGTCGCGACGGAAACCGCTGGCGACAGGCTGCTGCGGGGATCCCCCCAACCATCGGACTCGTGTTGCATCTGTTCAGCAGACTTGGCTGTGTGTGTGTTGTTGGTTGGTTGGTTGCCTGTCATTTTACCAAATTTATGCATGTTTTTTACTGGTAATTTGATTTTGATTTGAGAATTTTAATTAATTTGAAATATTATTATTGCGTTTTGATGAAATATTTTTATGAATGCGTTGCGTGTCTCCATGCCGCCGAAATATTCTTGCTGTTGTCCATATCCCAATTATGAAAAGCTAAAAATAAACCCATAACATTTTAATGGCATTTAAAACATCTAATTGACTTTGGGAGAAGGCCCTGCCTTAGCTTTCTTCGCTCAGGTGTGGATTGATGATTATATAAGTATTAGGAAAAACGCCGGCATGATAATTTCTTATATATTTTTGAAATTCGTATGTATGCCCGCAAAAAAATTTAGTAGGATTGAGGAACTGTTTAAAATAGGCAACAGGTATGTGCATATAGTCGTTTAGTATTAGCTTATCTTAAAGGGGCTTAGCTTTCTTAAAAACCAATGTCCATCATATCAACAGTCTTTCCAATAAGAATCCACCAGCTGAATTCAAAAACTAAGTATTCAAATTTTCAAGCGAGACATAGAATTTGACAGACCATTATTTTACATGTGAAATTTTTCTGTTGCAGATTTTCTAAATTTTAAAGAATTTCCTTCGTCCTTAAAAATATTCTATCAACAATCCCATATTTAGTATTTCAAGCAGTTGGCTTGATTAGACATTTTTTGCAAGAGGCATCTTTTCTAAATTAATAAATATTTTTTAAAATATAGAGCTGTTTTCATTAAAGAATTAAGCTTAAAAGCTTATGTTAATTTATCTTTAATTATGAACATCGTGAAATACAAAAACTAAAGTTTTTAAGCCCCGTCTTTCTACCAACTGATCAGTCAGTCTACATGTGATCAGCCGAACATATGTGCACCATATTTATTCAGCTGTTTTCGTTAAACTAGGACGCCCCACTTTTCAGTCTTTGGCATTGCGAATGGCCAAGGCGAGCACAAAAATAGTCATTTAAATAAATTAACTAATATCAGTGCGGCTCTTCAAGTCACTCTCATTAGTCATGGAATTTTTATTTATATTTTTTAAGCCCAACCCCGAGGGGCCAAAATAGAATAATATCTTCAAACCTCTGAAATGAAATCTAGAAAAAGATCTGAAATAATCCACCGTCTTTCAGAATATCCGTTGTCAATAGTAATCCCGTTTCCCGGGTCTAAAGTACTTCCGTATTCAGGCTACTCTTACAACTTCGCCGAGCCCAAGAAGCAAATATCAATTAATTTGCGCTCGAATAGCACTCAAAAAAAGAAAAAGAAAATAAACAATGAAATCAGCTACCACCGGCTGAAAAATTTGCAAAAACAAAAAAATCGAAAAGATCAATTTCTGCGAAGGACTCGCAACAGTGGCCGAACTGCACATTTTAACAGGATAAGAGAAACGTTTAAGCAAATGAACAGCCAGACAAAAGCCAAACAGCCGCTCGATGGAGCATTGTGGCTGCTGTATGGCTGCCGACAGCAAAGGAGGAAAACACACAATAGGCCAGGTCCGCAAGAATGGTCAACTGGCCGCGGCAGAAACGGCACCAACAACGGCAGGACGACAAAGAACCACAAAAGGCAAACGACGGCAGCTGGCAACCGGCAACTGTAGGCTGTTGTTGGTGATGCGGCACAGCAGATTAGCCAAAAAGGAGTCCGCTCAAAGGAGCAACAATGCTGCATTATGGCAACGGAAGCAGCGTCTTAAATTTATACGCGCACTGCTTTTGCTGCCAAAAATTTAATCCCATTTAGCAAAAATGTAACACAGGAAACGACATGTAATTGATGCTATAAGTAAGGCGCGCGTCCTTTAAAGGCATCGGAAAATTCAACAAATAGAGAGCTTCAATGTTCAGCTGCGGGGCGTATCCTTTGACCACAGGCCAGCCCCCGCCAGTATTGCGATTTCTACTCTTATCTTTTTGAAGCAGCATTTTTCATGCTGGCATACAAATAACGAACATTTTCACAACTCACTCGCTTTGCGAGTTGCCGCCGCAACAACAATTTTGGAAAACTGTTGACACTTTCAGCTGTCCCTACCCCCCGCCAAACTCTCCTGTTGCTAATATGTTGAGCAGCAGGTTACCGTGAGTATGCTGACATCCTTCTCCTTGTCCTAAGTTATATTTTAAAACCATGCTGCGATTTTCCAAATTCTCTTTGTAGTTTGAATTTTGTGAAAATTGAGTTGTCGGCTGAGTTGAGTTGTCTTCACCGACCGTTTTCATAAAGTCTGCCGCCTTCCTTACCAAGAAGAAAAGTATTTTAGTTTGTAAAATACTGGTGCAGGGAAGTTTCCTAATAAAGATTATTTATTCAAGATGTTTCTTATATGTATGTATGTATTGTGTTTCCCACAAAGTACTTGACCCACATCTCATATCAAACAGCAATACAAACAAATTCCTTGCTCAATCAAACTGCTTAGATAATAAGGTTCTGTAATCGATACTTTACGCCTGACGAGATCGGATCATAATCTGAACCTTCGAGGACTTTCATGAACAAAAGAATGCGTTTTTATGCTACATTGCATTTAAAATAAATAATGTTCACATATTCTACATAAAGGCATGCCATAAATAATAGGTCTGAGCATACACGAATCAAAATAGTAAAAAGGATATCACACTCAACTGCACGATTTTACAGATCAGAGTGCATATTCATAAGATATTTACGTCTTAAACGTCATATTTTTATTGATTGGAACAACTATTAACTACTACTAACTAACTACTTTTATTATTACTTCTATTAAGCTATTTGATCAGACATAATTAAAATTAATTTTTACAAGGTAGGCTCAAAAAATTGATTGATTATTGATATGATTGATTGATATGATTATTGCAGATGAATAGTGCGTTGATTTACAGTGCTTATAAATCGTACGATTTCTTCATAAAAGCTAAGTGGAGTCAATAAAATGTTAAAAGGTAATTTTCTATGATAAGTTTGTACTCCCTATTACACAGGCTCCTAACTAAACTAACCTTAAGAGAAAACTTGCGAAATGATAGCCGAAGCAAGCGGGTGGGACTTTAATGACATATGGTATGTAGTTCTAATGTTTACAAAAGAGTTTAAGTTGTAGAATATTATTTATTTGTATTCAAAGTAAGTATAAATTATGTAAATCGTCTTTCGTCTTTCTTCTGTCTACATACTACACCTAATTCTGTTTTTACACGGTTTTGATTTAACACGGTTTGAAAATTAAAAAATTATATATAGTTACAAGACTTTATTCCATTTAGCACAATTCATTTTGGCATATGATCAATGTCTTTTTTTAAAAGGTTTTTTTTACACAACTTTTTTAGGAACCAATCTACCGTGTAAAAACAGAATTAGGGTATTTCTATGTATAATATAGCAAGCCGGCTTAAATAGAACTGTAGGTCATATTAATCAACTAAAAAAGATTCATATCTGACAAAAATTATAACGATATTGTAACTAGCAAAATAGTTGGTGTTTCTGAGACTAATTTTACCAGATTGATCTTCCTATGGCACCTACGTGGTATAATGCTTCGATTTTGATGAAACTTCAGACATACATATCAAGTTTGGATTACCCAGCTGTTATCGTTCAAAAGTTGTTGGTGATCACACGGAATATTTGTATTACTGTAATCCTGATCATACTACACCTTATTCTGTTTTTACACGGTAGATTGGTTCCAGAAACAACCGTGAAAAAAAAAGATATTGATCATATGCAGAAATAGGTGATGGGTTCCTGATCTCTAGAGAAATATATACGAAATATTGAATTTTCAAACCGTGTTATATCAAAATCGTGTAAAAAAGACCGTGTAAATACAGAATTAGGTTGTATATGTATGTTCCTACATCGATATGTCCATGTATAAAACGTAATCTTCTACCTATTTCATGCATCCAGACTCTCTAGTTTTTTTAGAGCTCACTCCTCATTTCACTGTTTAGCACTTAAGGCCACTTTATACACCGAACGAATATTTTAGAAAAAGTAGCCGCCGAAGAGAGTGTCCGGATAAAAGAGGTGTCCGGTAAGGGAGTTTTCACTGTATTAGAAGCACCAGCTTGTTAACTGTCGACTGTAACCATGCGCATTTGAGTCGATTCTGATTAGAATATAACTTGTAGTTTCATACCAGCCACCTTTAGCATAGTTGCTGTTAACAACAATTTGTTTTTGTGCAAGCACAAATCTTTGGTAATTCCAAATTGTCAATAGTTTTTTAAAAATCACTTTTGGACTCTGATCTGTATTCCATCTGTTCGAAACTCCAGTATGAGTTATTTTCCTTACTCAAAGGCTACCTCGAATTCCTACAGCATGATTGCATTCGCCCTGACTTGGCTTCTTAGCGATCCTCAACACTGGTGATTTTAAAACAACGCCATCTAGGTGAAGTGGAGCAGAAACCTTTTTCAATTACTCTTAGACAATACTAATTAACTGATTACCAGTTTAAGGCTGCCGGACACACCGATTTGTTTACGCCAGCCCTTGTGTTTTTGGAGATTTTAATAAAAAAGAGGGCAACATTATCCCCACCAAAATGCATACATCAGGCAATTGGCAGAAAAATTTAATTTAAAATACTAGAGTCAATGGAATAATTGTTATATCTAGCCTAGCCTTGCATTATCTGTCACCAAAACGTCAAATATTGTTCGAGGCAGTCGTAAAACTTCCTATATAATATCAGTCTGCTGCTGTTTGTGGTCCGGACAACATCTTAATAAAAGGTAGAAAACGAAAAAGGTAAGTTAAACTTTTTCTCCAAACTAAATACATATTTTAATTTGCTTTCAATTTCACAGGTTCAGGACATAGGCTACCTCGAACGAGGACATAGGGTAGTCAAGCGTCAATTGAAGGAAAATTAAAAGATGGGTCGTCGCAAGTCGAAGCGCAAGCCTCCACCAAAAAGGAAGGCCATAATGCCTCTGGAGCAACAGTTCAACTGTCCTTTCTGCAATCACGAGCGTTCGTGCGAAGTGAAAATGTAAGTAGAGATTGCATTTGTATGTGGTTGAATACTTATTGTTGTTTTCATAGGGATAAGACTCGTAATCATGCACGGATCGCATGTCGTATGTGTGAGGAGAGCTTCCAAGTGTCTATCAACTATTTGTCGGAGCCCATCGATGTGTACAACGAGTGGATCGATAGCTGTGAGGAAGCGAATACAGCGGCCTAAAGGATTGAGACATTTCTCCAATGCGATATTCTCCTATTAAAACATAAACTCTAACATTGTCGCAATACATACATACATACAAATGTATTATGCTTGATCTCAGCTGTAAAGCATGCCAGCACATGCTCTTTAACCAAACAACACTAATCTTTAAGATGGTATTATTAAGTAGCATAATTGACAAAAATATTTGAGCCCATAGGTCCCTCAAATTGGAAATACTTAACATTATTATTACTAATAAAATGATTTTCGATTTTGTTGACGGCAGCCGTGCTGGCCAAAATAGCAACCCGCCTACAGTATTAGTAACCAAATATTGTTACACGGCTTTAACGAATCATTTGCTGTTCTTAGTTGTTTGTAATTCCATGTACCTCCTAGTCCAACTCAACACGACGTACTTATGGGATCAAGTAATCCGAAATACGACTATACGACCATCATCAACGTCGATTCGGAAAGTCGCTGTATTTTAAAACGATATTTCTATTCCATTGAGTCAAAATGGCTTATAAAGTAAGTTAGTTTCTACGTATTAAATAGACTCATTCGGATTTAAAACAAGAATTTATTAACTAACTAAGCAGTCAGTGCAAAGTCGACTTTAATTAAATAATATTTCTGAAGTGAAACTGCAAGGCGTTGTTAAGTTTTTAAAATTTCCAAAATCCAACACAAAGTTTCCACCAACAAAAAATCAAATCAAAGCAACTTATTCTAGTTTTAATAAATAGTTTGCTAAAAAGGTGTAAATATGTATGTATGTATATAAAACCAGTCTAAAACTTTTAAATGACTTACGCAAACATTTGTGTTATTTTTTTGGAAGAAAACTACATATAAATCCTATTTTTAAAAATGAAAAAGGAATGTTAGACTCGAGCGGGCTCAACTCTGAAACATACTGTACCCTATTAATCGTAATTTCATTTATTGTGCAAAAACGGACGAAAGGAAATTTGCCAAATATTTATTAAGTACACCTAATTCTGTTTTTACACGGTATTTTTTAACACAGTTTAGATTTAACACGGTTTAAAAATTAAAAATTTTATATATTGTTACTCGACTTTATTTCATTTAGCACGATTCATTTTGCATATGATCAATGTCTATTTTACACGGTTTTATTTTTACACGACTTTTTAGGAACCAATCCACCGCGTAGAAACAGAATTAGGTGTATAATTATGTCTTCCATGCTTACTTCCTAACCTCACATTTTTTAAGAGAATTCTTACGCTCTCTTGCTTTTCTGATTGATCTAACTGCGCTCTCTTGCTCCTTTGCGAACAGTTGGCGCTCGACCACCCAAACTCCAACTTGTTGTTGTCTTCATACAACAGACTCAACACGCAAATGTAGGCGGCAATCTGTTATACACCACATTCGGCAAGTTCTTTGAATTGGATTTTTTTTCTTTCTTCTTTTGTGTAGCTGTTATGTTATGGTGACATTATGTCTGCTAATATAACGGCCACATACATACATGAAAAAATGAGCATTAATATAAATCGCTGCGTACTTACATTTACATACAGATTAATTGCGATCGCTCTAATTAAAAATGATTTTCAAATTGGACACCTTTACTTATTTTAATCACATTTACAAACACTTAAAAAAATAAAAACAAAAAATGAGGCACTGCGCAATTTATTTGAAATCACGAACACACACATACACAAGTAAGTATGTATGTATGTATGTACGCAGCACATTGATCGCGCGGCATTTTCGCATTAATAAACACATATTTTGCACACACAACTTAATAAATATGTACATACATATGTGTATGTATGCTTTCACACAATTTTTCTAATATTTTAACTATTAATTGAACATTTTCACAGAGTTTTCGGCAACTCCAAATACAAACGGCGCGACGCGATCAACAGGTCGAGAAAAACTAAGCCTTGCATTGCAGCTGCAAGCCGAATGCTCTCTCTAAGAATGTAAAAGTGAAGGCAAGGAATCAAAAATCATAACTGTAAATCCTCTCTCGCGCCTGTCATACGTACATACATTTGTATGTATTTCGTTTCATGCAAATTTTCTCACATGAAATTGTTGGTTGTGTGTGCTTTCGCTGGATTAATTATTAATAGCCATTCATTAAATAAATGTGCCAAACTCAAAGACTCAATTTATTTGTTTGTGCTCCATTTTTATATAAATATTTGCAAACAGCTTAGTGGGTCACAGAAAAGAATCACAAACACCTGACATTTGGGTTAAAGCTGTTGCTATAAAAGATGGATCGAAATTGCTATAAAAGACAGAGCAAATTGGTTTTAAGCAAAGTGTTTTAAAAATGAAATACTTGAAGGTCTTCATCATAGCCTTTGGTGAGTTGGGAAATCGACGGTGATAAGCGCGTATTCAACATTCAATCCTCAATATGGCAATCCTTTTCTCCTGCAGCGGTACTTGCCTTAATTATTTGCAGCAGCAATGTTGATGCTAATCCTACAGATAGCGATGAGCCAATACAGGATCGTCGTTTCCGTTGGGAATTATCTGATGAAGATAACGCCGATCCACTAATTGAGGAAGCTTATGATAATGATGAAAGCAATTCTTTAGATAGCGACGAGCCGATAGACGAGGATAACGACGAGCCAATACAGGATCGTCGTTACCGCTGGGCTTTCTCTGATGAAGATCGAGCCGATCCGTTGGATTCATGAAGAAGTACCAGTAATGCTGATTATGGGCTACTGGAATAGGCAGTATAATTGCCAAAGGCGCGGGCTATGTTTTTTGTTGTTTGTTGTTAATGAGAGAAAAAATACTTAATTTGTGAAGGTTTTAGAATAAATAAATATGTTTTTGAATACTTCATGTGGACTGAATTTATTACTCTTGAGTAGTTGCCTCGAGCTTATTTGAATGAATGTTTTAATATTTATAATTATTATTTATAACTCCCTTGTATGTTAATGGGGTTTGGCTGTAATATTAGTAGCACAATTACGCTTGATATGTCCGACACAATCGTTAAATGTATAATTAAATTTTATTTAACATAATTTAAAGTATAATTCACTTTAATATGGTGTTTACATCATGCATATTTATAATATTTCATTTGCTTTAATTTCGAACTCAAATAATCAAACATCTCCTTCGTATCATGCATTTAAATATATAATTTAAACTATGACTAATAATAGATTTTACATAATTTTTGACATCGCTGATCTGCCGTTTAATAATTTATTAGTTTTCGCTAGATGTGTCTTTAACATTTAGTATGTTTACAGTTTTGTTTTAATTGAATTCAAATTGGAATGATACAGGCAACAAATTGGAAAACAAGTAAGCAAAACGTTCAACAAATTATTATTACAATTATTACACAATTTACAAAACAATACAATACTTGTTTAATGGTTTCTCATATAGTTTCCCTTGTTTTATTATTTTTTTTTAAATTAAATTTGATGTCTTTAATATTTTGTCCAGAAAATGTTTAACAATTTGCAAGCTACCAGCGAGATCTTTTGACTGGATGTTCAACAGATTTTTACAAAACTGCCCGCGTTGCTCCTCGTGTTCTAATAGTTGACAGACTGCTCCTTTTAATTTTTTGAATATGTTGCGTTTTGAGTCTTATTTTCTCGCGGTCCACCGTCACACACATTCCAACATCACACGTTGCTGTCCGTGCCCACGGCGCCGGTAAAGGAGAAGGGCTGCGCATTATTCACGATGCCTGCCCGATCATTTGTACTGGGCGTGGCATTGCCGCCGTATCCAGTTTGTTGTGCAGCGGCGCGCATATCCTCAGCAGACGCTCTGTGGGCGAAAAACATAAAAAGTAAATTAGTATATCAGTTGTGAACCTCTTTTTAATCCAAATAGATGCTAAATTTATTTAGGAATTTATTACGTATCAAAACAAATTATAGAGATGGCATGTAAGACGTGTGCTAAACCAAGAAAGTCAAATAAGAAAACCATCTATGTTGACGGTGCTGGTCAAACCCACACTACATACATAATAGCTTCCAATATTGTCCAGTGAAATGAGTATCTAAATCAATCGCTACACATATTTAGATATGTTCGCAACTATAATTCAACTTCTCAGCAAAGAAATGTTGTCAATCAGGTTTCGAACATGTCCAAACAAGAAAAGTTCTGTAAAAACGGACTACAAGTAAATACTATAGATTTGTAAGCATAACAAGATAGAACGCTACAGTCGAGCAAGCCCGACAGTAAAATAGCCTGTACTCTCCACAAAAAAAGAAAAATTAAAAAAAAAAATTTAAAAAAAAAATTAAATTATTAAAAAAAATTAATGAATTAATTAATTAAATTAAATTAGAATATATGTTTATGTTTAGTTTTAACAGCATACATTTACATCACGTACCTATGCGTGTTTATATGCGTGTATGTATGCAGCACAAAGTTGAACCAAAGCAGCAACAACAACAACAGCTGCGGGCAGCGCTGCCGACAGAGGCAGCGCATGAGCAGCGATTTTACTTATGGCTATAACTTTCTTCAGAATTGACCTATCATGATGAAATTTGGCACACGGACACATTAGTACTAACTGGATGTACCTACCAAAATTTATTTCAAAATTCCGAGAATTACGGAAGTGTTAAGAAAAAACACGAATTGCGGGGGAGTGGGGGGGTGCATCGAAAAAAAACTCAAACTCGTACTTTCTCGGTCTTAGGAGAATATGGAAACCAAGTTTGGTTATTCTAGCTCTTATACTTTCTGAGATCCTTGCGTTCATACGGACAGACGGACAGACGGACAGACGGACAGACGGACGGACGGACAAGGCTATATCGACTCGGCTTCTCATCCTGATCAAGAATATATATACTTTGTGGGGTCTGCCACGCCTCCTTCTGTGTGTTACATACATGCGCACAAAACTAGTATAGCCTTTCACCCTTTGGGTACAGGCTATAAAAAAGTACTCCATAGTTAGGAATGCTAGAGACACTAAATTTTCTATAGAATTGTACGATTCGGCAATGTTCTTAAGATGAATATATATAGCTAAAGCAAAATTCAGAATCAAATAACGTAAATTATAATAGTTCTCACAGTGCAACAGTTCTTGCTGATCTTTAGTAATTGAGTTAAATTCGTAGATCGTATAAGTGAAATTATTTTGGATAATTCAAGGCATGCGCTACATAGATGTTACTATAGGTATGTATTGCGTGCTCCATGTTCTGCATATAATTAGTGATTTAAAGTTTTTAATCACACTGCTTAAAAGCTGCGGCTATTTAACAATGGTTAAATTATTTTCATCCAGATTAAATCCTGAATAGATGCTATTTTCACACACAAACAATTTTGGTATTTTCTTATTTTGTCTGTATATCTATTTGTATAATAATTTTAGATGTGAAAATTGAATGGCATGAAAAAGGGAAAACAAAATCATGTTAGAACATTTTCTGATTAGAAATTATGTCAGATTTCTTTTATAATTTTGAGTATGTACAATATATCGATTTTCTACTTTTAGTTTTAAGTATATCTATTCAGATTCAATTGCAATTGCTCTATCTTGCGATTCATTGTTACATTTCATGCAGATATAGTTGAAACAAAAAAAAAAAACACTCTTTTCCATAAAAAAAAGTGCGGATTAGGCGTGAAACAAACGGGTATCAGCATCGTGCATTGCATAAACATAAATTTCAAATCAAAACAATACTTTTTAAAGTTACACGGAAACAGGATAATTATGTTTAAGTTGTGGGTATACTACATATATATTAGAATGTTAACAAAATATTGTATTTGCCTTTTGTCTCGCGAGCGTAGCAAAAAATATCATCACGTTAGCATTTTGTATATTTTTGTTGTAGTTGTTGCTGTAGTTGTCTGGCGCATAAGCATTTTCTTGCAGTTATTATTTTAGTGGTTCGGTATTTTCCTGTTCTTAGCATAGGTTTAGGTGCAGCAGAAGGACGAATGGTTCTTTTTAGTACATTTCATATAACTTTCAACAAAATATTTCACTTCGACATTTGCTATGATTTTTAGTGTTCTGTTCAAAATTTGTTGACACACATACATAATTACATATATCTAAATTAAACTAAATATTAGGATAACATAATTTATAAATGTATGTTATAGTTAAGCTTATTTGTAATAATTCATTGATTAGGATTGATAATTGGAACCATCTGCGGTTTTTATTAAGCTTAGGGATTTCGATGTTGCGGGTAACAATAAAAATAAATATACATATTCTAACAAATGTTTAAATGAGTATTTTAAACTAAATAAATATACATGATTGAAAATGGAATGCATCCGAAACGTTTTCTTACAGATAGCTTATATGAATTCACTTCATTGTGCTTTTCGAGTCTTAGAAAATATTTGATGATTACTTGATAATTCAATTCACACAATAAATTACACTTCTAGGGAACAAGGAATGTTTTTTAAGGACAATTTCACGAATTACTTATGAAGAAGTAAGTTTTTTTGTTTATAAAAATAAATAAATAATGTTCCTAAAACACAGAGATTCGAATTAATTGCAGCACACATATACTTTTAGCAAGATGAATTGTGAAAAAAATCAAATTGAATGTAGTTGTAAAATGCAAAACAAAAAACGTGATTTGATTTGGCTTTTCTATTTAAACTAGGTTGGGCAATTCACTAAATGTATGTATATTTACTTATTCCATTAAGCGTTTATAGAAAAATATTTGAAGAACTGCCGCCAAGTAGCATACTGTTTTGTTCGTTATGAATATTTAACGCGCTATTTAGATTTCTCTTTACTTTGGTAAAATGAGCAAAAGTTGTATTCTCATTAACATTTAACATTGAATTGGGCTTCGACATTGAAGCCAAGCATAAATTATAGTAATACTTTTGAATTGTACATATGTATTGCTCTAAATTTTGCTCCTTCTACAAGACTATCCCATTTTCTTGTTTTGCATGTTTTCCTCTGAGTGTATGTGTGGGTATGTGTGTGTGTGTGTGTGCGTGTGAATGTGTATGTGGAAGCTTTAGTTTCTTTAATTTCGTGTGGTTCTTCAATATATTTTCTCACTAAAAATATTTGCATGTATATGTGAGAGAGTGTGTGTGTGTGTATGTATATATGTATTTATAAATATGCAACTGTAATTTTCAACAAACACGGCTTGACGAAAAAACATTTAAAATGGAATACATATTGACGACAAATGTCGAAATGCAACATTACGCAACGTTTTTGTTTTTCTTTTCTTTTTTTTTTTGTAATCTTTTGTAACAATTATGAAAACATTGTTTTATTATTTTGGTGGGTGTTCTTATATATTTTTGATGCCTACAACGGTTTTTATCATTTATCCTTTTTTTCATTTGGAGCGAACACTAAAAACTATGCGCTGTAAAATATTTGTTCTATCATCGTGATATTTAACTATTATATATTTCCATTTATTGTATTGCGTGTCTAGTTTTGTATGTGTGTTGTTGTTGTTGTTGTTTCTGTTGCTGTTGTTGGAACGTGTTGGTTTGTTTGTTAGTTGGTATTTGTTTTGCTTTAATTTTCGTTTTGGCAGTTATTGCTAGTTTATGTTGGACGCCAAACATCGGGATCTTCCATGAGTGTGATATGTTGGTCGGCACCCATTGGCATTTGGCCGCCCGCATTGACGCCTGACATTTGTGTAGGCGATGTGGCAGCGGCGGCCATATCCTCGCGCGAAGCTCTAAGCATATATTTTATATATTTTGATTATGTGTTAGATACATTAAGGCATTTTGTGATGCACATAGTGTTAGCACGTTTAGGAATAAAGAAAAACATGTTTCGATTAGCAAGTTTGGATTGTTCATTCATTTCTCCAGTTCTCCAGTGCAAACATTTAACACTGGACCCATTCAAAACAATTCTAATACCACACTACTAGCGTCCACAAGCAATTCTTGGGATCGCCCATATACTCACTTCTTGCCTAACGCCAACATGCCGTAGACCACGCCTGTGGCAAATATCAAGCCGCTGCCAAAGAGACTAGCCAGTCCGAAACACATGAAAATTGGCGGCACAGCCAAGCTATAGAAAAACAAATGAAAAATCAATTTTTGGCTGTCATGATCTGACTCTTTCGACAACTTACGCGCAATAGAGACCCGCTCGGAAAAACATTGGCTTGCTGTCGACCTTATCCGCCAGTGTGTTCACCTGTTCGATGCACACGAAACAGCACGGCGCTTCCAGCGCCATCACCACAAAGCCAGCTATCATTTGTATGATTCCCGCCACCAGACACGAGACGCTGAGCGTGATGATGGACAGCACATTCCACAGGCCGAAGAGTATGGCAACTGCAAAAATAAGCATGTTTTTTATATGGAAATTCTTTAAAATGTGCATTCTATCAAGAATTTAATAAATTACAATTAATAAGCTGAGTATTTTATTTAGCTTAGCGGCTGCTAATTTTGCGCATGCTCTTAGCTGTATTGTTATTAATAAAAACAATCTAATTTAAATTTTTATTCTCAATTCCTATTTAGAAGAAAGTCGGACTTTAAGTTTTGAACAGTTTGGAGGTAGAGGTCGGTTTTAAGTCTAAGCCTTTTAAGGCAACAAATACTTCCAAAACAAATCTTTCCTTTCTTCTAGATCAGATTTTCCTTGCGAAATATCGACTGATTTTTAATATGCTAATGGTTTTGTTTTTGGCATAAATACACACATATATAAGGTGATGTACGAGTAACAAAATATTTTTATTCAATAGTATCTTCAGCTCTCAGCACAATGTTTATAAATAATAAATATAACTAATACAATTAAAATGTTCTAACGAAGATTGTTTTGTATGTATACTACTACATTAAAAGCTATAAAATTCAATCAATTGAAACGCGTTACCAACTCTTAATTGCTTAAATTTGTTTAATTATCAATGTGCGTGGCCTTTCACAGCTTCCCAAATCAATTGATTTGCCCCGGAGACAACAAAAACTTGAAATACTGCGGCGAACGCCCATTTTATAAAGTAACATGAATTAACAACAAATTCAAATAATCTAATCGGCATGTATGACTCATCTATGAATGTAAGTATGCATATATGTATACGAATATATATGTATGTATGTATGTATCTGTATCCGATTTGCAACATTGACGCTCTTTTATTTTTATAATAATATAATAAAACAGCCAAAGCATACAAGCGTGACAAAAGCAAACACAAACACTTGTTTAAATTGGAGCACGATCTGCTTAAAGCGATGCCGTTGAAAACGGGCTTCTGGGGCCGGTAGAATGACGTGGAGTTTCTAAATGTGATCAACGTTATTACGAAATGCTTTCGCGACTGAGTGTGTCTTTAATATACAAACTACTTATATTTATCTTTTATAGTTTTTTTGGCCTTTAGTAAACAAAACGCATTCGAATTAAGCCAGCTTAGATAAACAAAGCCTGTCAGCATTCTGCCTAGTCATATGTAAAGACTTTTAGATATGATGTCTGAAGACTCTGAAGTAGTAGTAAAAATTTTTTATTATTTTTTTCTTTTTTTTTGGCACATTTTATGGTGAATTGTGAAATGTTGAAGCTTTTTGACAGCTATTATACATAAATGGTATAAATAACTAAGGACTACGACATTATTTTGATAGAAGTGTAATTTTAAGTATTCATATACCTTCGATTATTAGTGTATTCAGATGTGCGCTTCCTACGACTTATTACTTTTTTCTACCGACTACTCTAACACTTCTTAAACCTTCCACGAAATAAGAGTTTTAGTTCATAATCGCAGTTTGAAACTTGAGCGTTATTTTGTGGTTTCAAAGGTTCGCCGAACGACGACTTTATTCATTGAGGGCACTACTTGGTAAGTTGCGGGTACCAACCGGTATGAAAAGCAAAGCTTTGATGTGTCATATAAATTATATAAATGAATGTAATTTTGTATGTAGACATAAAAATGGACGTAGAACCCACTGCGGCGTTGCTTAATTGAAATATTGGATGTGCTTCCTTAATTGAGAAAGCCGGTTACTCGCTCAGTAAAATGGTTTTTTTTTTTTTTTTGTTTATTTATAGTGTCCACATGTCAGTTGTTAGACACATATGTACGCAACGTTTATTTGCTTTTCTAGATGTCTTTATTAGTATTTCTTATTGTTGTTTACATTTGTAATCATTGAACTTGAAAACTGTATTCGAGTCTAAACATAAGTGGGTCAGAATTAAGAAATACACACAAATATGCATAACAGTAGAGTATCTGAAGTTTGACATTTATATATTATTTACATATTGTTTTAAAGCATCGCGCATATCCTGAAAGTTCAATGCCATTTCAATAACTGTGTATTTAAAATTAAAAAACAAAAGAAAATGATGCATCATATGCATAAAGCTAAAGAAAGGCATTAAGAATCAGCCGCAAAAAGTGGGGAGAGAGAGCAAGAAATTGAGAGCAATGAGTGTGCGGAGAGTGTAAATACAGCTGCCTTCCAGCCACTGCAGTAACTCTGCTGATAAAACAACTGCAACTAAACAAAGCATGAAAATTACATAGTGATTATTAAATGAGAAATAGTTACAGTTAAATAACGCAAAAACTTAAAGCATCAAACTTGACACAGAAAAGCTTTATAAAAATACGCCCCACATACATATGTATGTATGCTCGCTCACCATACATACAAACATTTCTGTATCCTTTGTGCGCTCTTCTATGTTGCTGTCGTTTTTCCTTTTATCAATGTCAGGTCGAATGAAGCGCTCAAAGAGTGTGCGTTTAGTGGGTGGGTGGGTGGTTTGTATGGCCACGCGGGCGCACCAACACATACATACATACATACATACACTCACAGATACAAGGAAACGAATAGATAAGCAACGTAACAGAGCAAATCAGCAAAGCAGCAGCAGAAACAGTGCAAAACAAAAGGTACATAAAAATCGATACACAATAGAATAGAGTTGAGAGAGCAACTAAGTAAATTATTATTAATTTGCGCAGTGCTAGAGCATTTAAATCAGCTTCTTAAACTAATGATTATAATGTATAATAAATGTACAATAATGTCGGGACGTTGCACTTACAAAATGCCCCCACAATGCCCAGCAGTCTGCTGCCATATTTCAAATACCATGGCGCCTCTGGACCGCCCGTTGGTTCTTGTTGATTTGGACGCGCCAGCAGACTCGTTATCTTTTCCGCAAACGACTGTCGACAATGACAAGCAAATGGACAATTGAAGAAGTAAACAAATTTAGCTTGTCAATATTGGAAAAATCGAATATGGCCAACATTATTTAGCAGCAGCAGCAACGCTCCATTCTTTTACACGCACGAACATACACATACACATTTCACGTCACCAAAAATTGTTCCGCTGCGCTATTGCTGCTGCTGCTGCTGTTGACACACACTTTGCACATTGAACTTGACAATTTCTGCAGGCGCGTTTACATACCATTTTATTAAACTAATTCAACTTAAGCTAAGTATATATTACACCCGAAAATCGACAAAATTCAAGCACTTATACGCTGCGAGAAAAAAACGTCGTTCTTTGAGTGAATTATGCGCCGCACTTTGAGATGAGAGATACACGTCTTTGCTGAATATCGATAGGCAGTGTATAAAGGGTAACTCTAAGGAACTGCCAACTTACACCAATAAGCGCTGTCCACCTATCTCTGACAGCATTTGTTTATGTTATTAATTCGTAATTAGAATAACACGCTGTATTTTCGTTGAAAGTAATGGATAAAATTGCACAATGCAAGCTGTGCCTGGAAAAGCCTGCAAATATGCAGCTGGACGTTAAGAAATTTCAACCGACAACAGCTATGCTGCAAAAACTTTTCGAGTTGTACAATATTGAGGTATGTATGTACATATGTCCATGGAATAGTGTGAACCCCATTAACAGGCGTTTTTTACTAAAATAAAAACTCTATTTAAGGCCGTTGTTGATGAATTGGGCAACAGCATCTGCGACTATTGCATGGCTGAAGTGCTTAACATGTGTGAAAATCTACGCTGCTGGCAGCAGGCGCAAATGCAATACAAAGTCAATGGAGTGACGAAAGAGGCGGCCTTTTTGGAATTTAATCTAAATGTTCTTATTCAAAAGGATGGAGAGGAAGACCAGGAGGAGGAGAACCACGTAGAGCAAGTGGATGCAAGCAAAGAGTTGTATGTGGAAGAGTACGAATTTCTCGATGACAATCAAAGTGATAAGGAATCATATGGAACAGATACCAAGGATGAAAATATTGGCATTGCAATCGCGGCCGAAGGCTTTGTGCTTGGTAAAGTAGCCAAGGGACATTTTGGAGCCGAAATATCGTGCCACTATTGCAATACGCAGCTAGCTACCATAAGGAGGTTACAACAGCACGTTCACAAACATAGCAGCTTGACTTACATGTGCCGCAGTTGTGGGACATCGTTTGAGACCCCAACCGAATTGCAGCAGCACCAGATAATGGAGAATCATAGCAGACCAGCAGGTGATAAACAGGATGCGGTGGATTTCCGCTGTCAACAATGTGGACGCGTGTTTGAACGATTATTTTGCCTGTGCCGGCACGAGCGAGAAGTCCATTTGAATGAGGCAGATTACTTTAAATGCGATAATTGCGACGAAGTATTTAAATACAAACAAATTTACGAGAAGCACCTGAAGAAACACCTTGGCATTGCAGAGAAGCCTACGTTGCGCTTCACATGTGCAACTTGCAACAAGTCCTTTTCTCGCCGCTTCCAACTGACCACGCATGAGCGCCTGCACACTGGCGAGAAGCCGCACAAATGCGATGAGTGTGGCAGACTGTTTGCACATCGCGGCAATCTGGTGCTGCATAAACGCAATTTGCACGCCGGCGAGCGCCGTTTTGAGTGTGATATGTGTTTGGCCCGTTTCTCGACGAGCACACACTTGAAAAAGCATCGAATGCACCACCAGCCAACCAATACAAGCAATAGCAAGAGAACCAAACTTTCAAAATAGCCTCTTCTGATCTCCGTAGATCAGCTCCAACATGTTCCATAGCTGTTAAAGTGCCACAGAAATAGTTAAATTGTTTATCTTATAAGTATCTGTATCTATCTATGCATATTAAATATTATTTCTATTAGTTTTAACAAAGCTTCCAAACGGGTATACTTCACTTACAGTGTAGAAACCGACAATTTAAATTTTGGGATTCAATCACTTTGCGGGTGGTTACAGTTTCAATAGCACTGTGAGGTGCTTCCATCGCCATCTAGCGGTCTTTTTTAAGGTAGTAGTTAGATCGCTTTTATCAAAATGGAGTCCTAATTGGTCAATGGGTTTGCCACAGACGTAAATTATTCGGCTATTTAAAATTTGTTAACTTTAAAGCCATCCCGCTGGAGTTATAAATAGTTAATATTCTTTGAAATTACTTATAAACAAAGAATCACTTTTTTAAGCAATTTTGATATTAAAGAAATGAATCAGAAAGAGGCCCACTGTACTGATCCTAAATTACCAGCAAAATGTTCCCAACAGATTTGCCATTTTCTTAGCCATCCCAATAAATAGACAATTTCTTTGCGGTCTCGAAAGTGTAAATAAAAACTGGACATTTTATTGCCTGAATTTTAAGATGCCAATTTATTTTTTTTTAACAAATGATATTTAGTTTTACTTTATTTTTTTACTTTAGTTGGACTGTTCAAGTTTATTTTTGGTCTACAAATTGATTTCTGATATTTTTGTGTATTTGCATAATTTTTGGACGTTCTATAGTTTGTTATCCTGTTTGTAAATTAAGCTCACTTAAAAATGACGAAATGCATAGCAATTGTAGCTTAAGTCAATAAACAGACATCACAAAATCAGATTTATTTTCCGAATATGGTTCGAATTGGAACAATCGAACAAAAGAACGAGGTTCATCTGTCGTTTATTGTACTTAAGCTTGACTTTTCTTGCTTATAATTTATGGTTTCTTTGTTGTAGTTTTTTTCGTTCGTTAAAATAAACTATTGCTATGTCCATTGATATTAAGTTTTGTTCACAAAATAATCTGCATATATATGTAGAGGAGGGGTTTTTTCACAATACAAGGATGGTTAACTATTGTTGTGAAATGTATTTGTATGTGTTTTTTCTTATAATATTGCCAATGAGTGGTATTTCAAGGAGTTCGGTTCAGAAAGATATTGCCTTATTTTGCGTTTCACAAAATATTTGAGATATTTAGTGTTTGTTCGCTTTCAATTTAAAGCCCGTTCGGGACAAACAAATGCGCAATAAAATTGTAAAATGTTGAAGAAAAAAACCAAAAAATCATTTAAAAGAATTATTGCCAATTTCTTTTGCGCATTCATTTGAACTGTTGAACAGATGTTATTACTGTTCGGTTCAAATAATAAAAAATGTACAAATCATACAAAAAAAAAAAAGAAAGAAATAAAAAACGAAAACAAAAACTAAAATTTGTAAAAACAACTAGTGTTGCAGATATTTCAGCCCTTGCCATATTGTACAAAAAATGAAATAAAAATTAATATGGCTTTTCAAAAAGCTTTAAAAGTCAACTAAAATTAGAATTAATGCAAATGCTATTTCAGTAATGAAGCGTGACATTTCTTTCACGCTGGGAAAGAAAAAAGCGCACATATTGCAAAAGAACAAATTATGAGCAGCAATTTTAAGTGACTAGACATGGAAGGCAATATGCAGCAGTGTCAGGAATGAGTTTGGCAAGTTCCAAATAATTTCAGAGTCTTTTTTAATACAATCATAAGAATCCCATGCCCGTCTTTACTAACATTCCTAATAACGTAGCTTACTTTTGTGCAACATCAACCGCAGCAACTTCGAAGTTTAAACTGAGTGTAACTTAGCATTGTTAGGAAACTTTTTCTCGGACACTTCAACAGTATTTCTTTATACAAGTACATATGTATATACATATTATGTTTATGTGTATTTAGTTACACATGCGCAATATCTTAAAAAAAAGTGCTCAACATTTCTTAAAGTGACCTTTTATGCTCTCAAAAATATAGTTATGTATGAACCATTCCTCTCGCATATCAAATTTAACGTTAACAGTACAAATCTTTAAACACTTAAATTTCTTTACTGTTTAGGATTTATAGTGTTGTTTGAAGATATTTAATCTTCGAAGTTTAGGCTAGTTTTTAAATTCGTTAAAATTGCAAAATTGACGCACTGTCGTTTCCTACACCGTGCCAGTATCGACTTTGCCTTCAAGTTAGGAAGAATATTCTGGCAACCTTATTGTTTAAAGCATTTCATTAAAATGTATTGGATTTTATAAAATGTTACTCTTTTCTTTTGTTGTAGTAGTAATAGTAGCTAGCCGTTTTCTTAAGATCACAATTGTGCTAAGAAATACTATATCACAATTAAGTATTTACATCATTTGTTTTTTTTTTTTTTTTTTTTGTGTTCTTTTCTTTTTTACATTTTAGGTGGGGGCAGTATAACGACCCAGAAAGTCAGGCTCAGTTTCACTTTTGTTTTCTTGCCATATTCAGTAATTTCTTATACACAATAAAAATTAAATGAACTAAAACATAAAGTAAGAGTTTTAGGTATTTAAAGCTACGCTTTTGGCGTATTTTATAAAATACGCACGGCTGGCTCGAAGTAGTTTCACTCATATTATAGCATATACAACAACAAAAGAATACGTTAATTGTACTTGAAAATTCTTGTTTTTTGTTTCCACTTGGTGTTTGTTCTCTTTCACTGCGTATGCAGTTGTTGCTCGATAAGTGTGCCTTTGTTGCATTTATAAAAAGCTGCCCTTGTCAAAATTTATAAAAGTTACGAACGAGTGCTGTGCGGAAGACTCTATCGATCTGTTATAGTTCCTAAAACCGGTATGGTCTTTGTACAAATTAGATGTACAATAATAATGTTTCTTGCTAATGGTGAAATATGAGAAATACTTTAAATCTATACTGCTGGTTTTCAAAATTGCACAAAAAGTCCCAAAAAGTTATTCTTGCTGCACATAAAATGTTCTTTTGTTTAGGGATTGAAATATCTTTAAAAAAATGTATATGGTAGTGAATCTCTATGGAAGTGCACTAAAGCGTGGCGGCTGTAGGAATTTCAATAGAATATTTAGCAAAATACATTTGCTATGAAGTTCTTCGTAAACGAGAAATTCGTCCACGAATTAAAGTTGGGCGTAAAGGTAGTTGTTAAATCTGCTGCTCCTGCTGCTGATGCTTGACGTTGCAGTTGCAACTGTTGTGGTAGCTGATGTTGTTGCTGTTGTTGGTTCAGCGCCTGTTGTGGCATCGGTTGTGGGCGCTTTAAAATTCGCAAGTTGCTACCAGAGGCCATGCGTTGCAGTTTGTGCAAAGTGTCAGGATTGACAACTAGTCCGTTGGATGTCGATGGTGTTCTTGCCGTTTGGCCCAAGTTTAAGGAGACCGAAGCTGGACGTGGACGCTGCTGCTGTTGGTCTAATGCAGGTGCAGTCTGAGCCGCAGCTGCAGCTGTTAGCATGGCTATTAAATCGACGCCAGTTGTGGGTGTTTTTGGTTTTTGTTGCTGCTGCTGCTTTTGTTGTTGGACATTATCCATTTTGCTCATGCTGCTCCTGTCTTGTTGCTGTTGCTGCTGATTGCTTTGCTTGTCACTCTGCGATTTGGCACGCATGCGCTGCTGCTGCTGTTGGAGCTGCTGCTTTTGAGCTTTAGCCGCCGCTTTCATTTGCTGCTGCTTCTCTTTGCGTATCAAATCAAATGAGCAGACCATCTGCAAAAATTTCGTTAGTGGCAGCTAAATATATTATTTACGAATGTGAAGACTCACCTTTTCATTGCCAGCCGGCGGCTGTGCATCATTTTGGCTTTGGCTTTGGAAAAGCTGCCGTTTGGTTGTTAAAATTGCTGATGTTGTTGCCGGTGTCAATGGCGCGTTGTTAGGAGGCAACTTTGCTTGCTGCTGGTGTTGTTGTTGGTTTGTTATATTGCTGCCTGCAGCAACGTTGAGCTGCTTATTATTATTGTGGTTGTTATTACGCTTGTTGTTAATATTGATAGCCTTGGGTGTTATAACAGCTGCTGTTGTTGTTGCTGCTACTGCAGACTTATTATTGAGATTATTCAACTTGATTCCGTCTAAATCTCCCATGGATTTGTGACGTTGACGTCGCGATGCGCGCGACTGTTGCAGTGGCTGATGGTTAACAGCCTCCTTTTTGTTATTATTAATGTTGTTGGTGTTATTAAATGTGGGAGAGCCTGTCTTTGGGCTTTGCTGTCCAGAGCATTTGTGTCTCCGTTGCGGCTCAAATCCACCCGCTCGTCGATCGTTCACCCATTTCTTTAAACGCTTCACAAACGGTATGATCATAAAAAATGAATTGGCATTTTTGCCTAATTTGGCTTGTGATATGGCATCATTTTTTTTGATTGGCAATGCATCAATGCGAAACCAATCACAACATTTTATCTCATTGCGAGTGCGTGGTGCGAATTGAGTGTTCAGCGGTATGTTACGCACAATGTACAGACGTGTATATTGGTAATTTATAAAAGCCTCAATATAATCGTTAGCATCGATAATGTCCGTAATATCATAGCCTGTTTCCTCGTAGACCTGTAATTGAATGCACAACATTTAAGAAACTGTCCAGCTGTGCGACTGACATTTGGGATTGAGACTTACCTCCCTTGTGGCACAATGTGCGGGATCTTCATGTTCATTGATTTTGCCTTTGGGAAAGCCCCAGGAGTTGCGCGCGAAATACGATTGCACCAGCAGGCAAAAGTTGAGATCCTCCGATACGAGTATGGCGCCGTATGTGGGCACTGATAGCTTATAGTTTTTCCACTCCTCCAAAATTTGATGAATAGTGCCAAAATGTTTATTGAGGAATGGTATATGCTGTAAATATTATATGTAACAAATTTTATTGCTCTGCAAAATGTTCATTGTCTTTTAGAAGTTCAACTTTTCTTTAAATTAATTTTTTGTGAACGAATTATGAGTCTTACTGCATTGGTTAGTTTCTGCTGGTTTTGCTCCAAAGCTTACCTGAAATAATTGCATGGCGAACTGTTTTATGCCCACAACTGGCAATTTACGTTGAACCGCCATAGATTGCGCGCCCTTTTCTGCCTCTTCCGAGGCTGGCGCACAAAAGAAGTCCAAGTAGAACCAATGCGCCAACTCAATTTGAAAACAAATGCGTATTAGATTGTTGAGTTCCATGTCGGGCACATTGATAATGAAACGACTGGCCAGATCGTCGAGTATATCGGACGGAATTTTCGATTTCTCTGGCAACTTAATGCTGGACGCCGGCTTTGTTGTCGTTGTGGTTGTTGGATCTTCACCACTAGCCGTTGTATCCGTTCCAAAGCCATTGGCCATGGCTGAGCCATAGCTATTGGCCGATGATGAGTTCGTGGATATCGTTGAATTGGTCGATGATATGGATGAATTGAGCCGCTGTTTCTGTGTACTATTTCCATTGTTCTTTCTCTTTTCTATGGCTATGGGTGCACTACTGGCTGACGATAATGATGTCGCTGCTGCGAACGTTGTTGTTGTGGTGTTATTGTTCTTAGTTGTCTTTGAGAAGACAGCGCCTGTTTTTAGCAGTTTGTTTAAAACATCATTTTCGTCTTCGTTATCAGAGTGTCGTCGTTGTTGCTGTTGATTAATTGCTGCTGTGCTTTTAATAGTAGTTGTGGTTCCAACTTGTTGATAAGTCCCAACACTATCGCTGCCTGGATTGTTGCTATTGTTGATATTTAGCGCTTTTTGTAACGTCAGCGATGCGAGCAACGCCAGGTTGTTGACTGCAAAAAGCGAGGGAAAGAAAAGTTATGAAATAAACGATAAGAAGACATAGCAGTGCAAAACACAGATAAGGTAACAACTAATGAAATTATTCCAGACACATTCACTTCACAAGCTGCAAATAATTGCTAATAATTTATATTTAGGACACAAATTCAAAGTCGTTTAATATTCATTATATCAAAACTTTAAAGTAATATAATAAAAAGACAGATCACTAAAATTTACGTATTCTTGAATTTTAATGGCTAAATATCATCTCGGCATTCATGCGCAAACACCTATGTATCTCGACTTGAAATAATTTGAACTTGTATTTATGTATACAAGTATATTTATTTCTGTTACCCAATGATTGCATAAGCTCATGTAAACCTATTTTGAAACGTATCGTTTGTGTTTACAAAAAGATATTCTTTCACAAGTTCGCTTTTCAAGATAATTTAAAAAAATATACAATACCTAAAGATGATACGTATGTATGTACCTTCAAACGTTTGTTGCCACCCAAGCTTACTAAAAAGACTTCCCACACACAAACGTGTGTACATACATTTTGATCTTGATCGACGAAGCGCCCACCCTGCTTTGGAGTTTCAATAGAGTAAAAAAAATTTCAAGCGAGACTTTAAAAATTGGAACTAGCACAAATGTTTGATTAAGCGTATAAAAACTATTACTGTATTTTGCTTTGCTTGTGTTTCGCGTATGTACATGAATGCATATGTACGTGCATATATGTATATATATATAAGTATTAGGATTTGGCCTCTAAAAGCGCAACTAACTGTGTAGTTCAACGACCCGCTGAGAGCTGCAAGCTAGCGCGCTGCACCACTTGAAAAAGCATGACAGAGTATGATGCAGCAGTGTTTTAATAAATAAATATCTAGGTACAGAAAAATTAATCAGCTATTTTTATTGTTAATACGTACAGTTTAATTGTATAATAATTAATGCTCTATAAAATAAGTGTATAATACTTTCAGTGCTTTGGCAATTACTATGTTTTTTATTTTTATTTTTCATCATGACAAGACGAAGTAATTTAAAAATGATCGCTTGGTTGAATATCTTAATGAACGCAAGGATCTCTAAAGACATCATAGCTAAGACGTAACGGTGCCGAGTTGTCCAGCAAGTGACGAAATACTAGTATGTACATATACATATATAATAAATAAAAAAAAACCACAGAACCTGAAACTGGCTGCGAACTAATCAACATTTCCAACCTAGCGGGAAATTAATAGATCTGGGACCGAATAGTCTAACTACAGAAATATATGCATTCAGATTAACATAAACATAAAATGTTTTTGGTTTGTTCAATTATTACGAAATTTTAATATTTAAATAATATTCAGTTTTTTTACAAGGTATGATTGGACCTATTTATAGAGCATCTTATTATTTTAGTTTATTGGTTTTCAGAACAGGTCTTACCATTATCATTTGGATGAAGGGATGAGTTGGTACCAACGTGACTGCGCTGCTGTGACTGTGGCGGCTGATATCGTATCGAGGACGCGGTGGCGGCGACAGCGGCTGTTGCGACGGTATTAATCAATGGTGCAATTTCCATAATATTTACTATGAATTTAATTTGGTGTATACAAGTCGTGGGCGTCTGTTTTATTTATACAACTTTATTTTATGTAATACACTGTGGACTTCACTTTGTAGGACTGGTTATTTATTTTTTCGTATTTGTTATATCGTAAAATCACAAAACAAAAAATAGATATTGTTTTATAAAACCAAAATGTAATTGTTTGATATAGGTTTTGTTATTTTTGTTTCTCTCAATTTTCTTTATTCCCGTTTCGCTTATTTACGCTAATTTCTTGTTCAGTCTCTTCTAACACACAGTCTTCTCTCCAACGTATGGCTTGTGACCGTTCGACCGACCACGACAACGCCGTGAATGTATGTGTGCGTGTATTGTACGGTCCTAAGTGTGTGTTGGTGTTGTGGCGGTTTGTCACGTATTTTTTGTACAATGCCGTAGTCGTCGCGCTGGCTCTAGCTGTAAATATGGCTGCCAAGTATCGAAAAGTGCCTCCACTGGCTTCTGTCGAACGAACTTCAATTTCCAATGCAATTGTTGTACTTTATGGTTTCTTTTATCTTTCTTGCCACTGCTGCTATTGTGGGCTATTGTTCTACTACTTTTAATAGTTGCCTTTGTTGTTGTTTCATTATTTGTTGTTTGGCAATCAGCATTTTCTGCATTTGTTGGTATTTTCGTGCTCCTACAACAGTGGAGAGCCATCCACAAATAATTGTGTCGTTGAAAAGAAACACAAGTCTCCCACACAGACACGCGCGCTTCTCCACTCCACGTTCAGCGCACGCACACACACAGATAAACTGATTTTTTCTCTCGCACTTTCTCAATAAAAAGACTGTTCGTATACATGTATGTACATATGTGCATATGTACGCGAGTGGTTTTTGCGTCACTTACAATTTTCCTTTTAAAATTGCTAAATCTCTTTGTTATTTATATGTATGCGCAATTCGTGTTATTGGATTAAGACGTTGCACTTAAATATAGTAGTTATTTGCACTATTTAATAGTTTTTTCTTATTTTTTCGGAACTTGTTTCCTCTTCCTTGTCAAATTATTTGCTTTCTGCCGCACTTAGTGATGTAAGTGGTATTTAAACGATGTTCAAGTATATGTGACTTTATCACGGTGCCGTGCTATGAGTATTATTAAGTCACAGTAACGCAACTTATGTTATGTATAGATAGTAAATTTGTGAAACTACCTAATAATTGGATATTATAAAGCAAATATTCTAAGAATATGACTTTAAAAAGTTTCTACAGATCCCGTTTTTCTTGAGCGCCTTTTATTTGGAGTAAATACAAAGGAGAGATTCCATAGTCGGATTCTCCAATGGTGATCCGTATGATGTCCAAGTTTCCGGTAAAATCGACCTTATTTCTTTTTAACAAAGTGTTAGAGAGACTATTGCAAGAGTGGTTGCCCTTTCTAATTTTTTTTAACAATTCGAAACATGATTAATTCTTCTAAGTAGTAGACATATTGGTCGACATATGTATGTATGTATGTACAGTTCGCTTTGTGGTCTTTAAACGGTCTTTTAGGCTTAGACGTTAATTCGATAAGTTACTATTTACTCCAAATATTATGCGCATCTCTAACAGTTAAGATATATTTTCACAGTTGTATCTATTACGAACCGAAAGTTGTGGTATTTTTAGTATTTTGAACATGCCAACTTTTTCAAAAATCCATACAAACATGTAATTGGCAGTTCCAGTGACAGGAAACGTATGGAAATAAGTCGTGAAAATCGGGATTTTTCTTAATTTGTGCGCCATAAAATACGTCCAGATTATTCTAAATAATGCACAACATGTCCTTTCAATGTCAGCATTTGGCAAATGTTTTAAAGTGACGCCCAAAGTGTAAAATAGGCAAGGAGTTCGACGTCTTTCGATTTTCCACCCGAGCGTGCGTGTGTGTGTCTATGCTTTTTCAGCACACTCTGTGTGCAGGTGTAGTCTATTTAGCACAAATGTCGCATTAAGTAAGCAGCAAAATTGCATTTTCGAAAATTTCCGCCTGTAGTTGGACGTGGACGTGTTTTGGACTCGCTCTACCACCCGTGGATAACAGAGACGCAAAGGTAAGTTTTGCTTTGCAGTGGAGGGAGATCATACATACATATGTGTGTATATACATATACATATATGCATATGTAGACAACTGTGTGTATATGCCTTTGAATTTAAATTGGGTGCTATATAGGCGTTACTTGAAGCAATGGCCGAGCAATGCTTTTCACTCTGATCGATTTAAATACATCTCTGAAAATTTGATTTTTTTCGAATTTTTTTTGAATTCACAGATAGACGCCGTGTGGGGTTGGGCTTCCGCCCCGCTGCGTTTAGCGGCGAATAGAATGGGCGATCCTTTGTTGCCGGGCTCCACCGGCGTTGGTAATGGCTCGGGAGGTGGCGGCACAGGCGCAAACACTGGACTCGGTGGCGCCGGTGGGGTCGATCGGCCACCATCGCCAGCACGTCTTTCCCATACGTCCGAAAAACATCCGAAGGTGACGCTCTCCGAACTAAATATGCTTCGTCGTCATCGAGAGCTCTGTGATGTGGTGCTCAATGTTGGCGGACGGAAGATCTTTGCCCACCGTGTCATACTCTCAGCTTGCAGTCCATATTTTCGCGCCATGTTTACAGGCGAGCTAGAAGAGTCCCGCCAAACAGAGGTCACCATACGGGACATAGATGAAAATGCCATGGAGCTGCTAATTGACTTTTGCTACACGGCACACATTATTGTGGAGGAATCCAATGTCCAGACACTATTGCCCGCCGCTTGTCTGCTGCAGCTGGTGGAGATTCAAGACATTTGCTGTGAGTTTCTAAAGCGGCAGCTCGATCCAACCAATTGTCTTGGCATACGGGCTTTTGCCGACACGCACTCCTGTCGCGAACTTCTACGGATAGCAGACAAATTCACGCAGCACAACTTTCAAGAGGTCATGGAAAGTGAGGAGTTCTTGTTGCTGCCCGTTGGCCAGCTAGTTGACATCATATGCAGCGATGAGCTGAATGCCCGCTCTGAGGAGCAGGTTTTCAACGCGGTGATGTCTTGGTTAAAGTACAATGTTGGTGATCGAAGGCAGCATTTGGCTCAGGTGAGCAAAACGATGTCTTTCTTAATATATTCGCTTTACTCGATTGCTCGCTTGTGGTAGGTTCTTCAACATGTGCGCTTGCCTTTGCTCTCACCCAAATTTCTCGTCGGTACTGTGGGGTCAGATCTCCTAGTACGCTCCGACGAGGCCTGTCGCGATTTGGTCGATGAGGCCAAGAACTATTTGCTGCTTCCACAGGAACGTCCATTAATGCAAGGTCCACGCACACGTCCACGTAAGCCCACTCGTCGCGGCGAGGTGCTTTTTGCTGTTGGCGGCTGGTGCTCGGGCGACGCTATTGCTTCCGTTGAACGCTTCGATCCGCAAACAAATGACTGGAAAATGGTTGCTCCTATGAGCAAGCGACGTTGTGGTGTTGGCGTGGCAGTTCTGAATGATCTTCTCTATGCCGTCGGTGGTCATGATGGTCAAAGCTATTTAAATAGCATTGAACGCTATGATCCACAAACCAACCAATGGTCCTGCGATGTAGCGCCAACAACATCATGTCGAACTAGTGTTGGCGTGGCCGTGCTGGATGGCTTCCTCTACGCCGTGGGTGGCCAGGATGGAGTTCAGTGCTTAAATCATGTAGAACGCTACGATCCCAAGGAAAACAAATGGTCTAAGGTTTGTAGAATTCATTTCTGTCTATCGGAGTTATAGTCTTTTTTTTTTTGGGACGGAAGGTTAATTGTATAGTTATTATAGTTATTTAATAACAATATAGTACGAAAAACTTAGTTCAAGAATTTCATTTAATTTGATTAGAGAAATAATTATCAAAATGCCATGAAAAATGTATGTACCTTTCCAGGTGGCACCAATGACCACACGCCGATTGGGTGTTGCAGTTGCCGTGCTCGGTGGGTATCTCTATGCCATTGGAGGCTCAGATGGCCAGTGTCCGCTCAATACGGTGGAGCGTTACGATCCTAGGTAAGTCTAATCTTTCCGCCATTCCATTTAAAATAAAACAATACGGTTTTTGTGTTGCCCAGACAAAACAAATGGGTTGCTGTAAATCCAATGTCCACGCGCCGCAAGCATTTGGGCTGTGCCGTTTTTAATAATTTCATCTATGCTGTCGGCGGACGCGATGATTGCATGGAGCTTTCCTCAGCTGAACGGTATAATCCGCAAACAAACACTTGGAGTCCTATTGTAGCCATGACTTCACGACGTAGTGGGGTAAGTATCGCAGAGCGTCTGCTCCCCACCTATTGCTCAAAAATGTGTTTCCCCTTATCTAGGTCGGCTTGGCTGTGGTCAATGGGCAGCTGTATGCAGTAGGAGGCTTTGATGGATCAGCCTACTTGAAGACTATTGAGGTTTATGATCCCGAAACGAATCAATGGCGCCTGTGCGGATGCATGAACTACAGGCGGCTGGGGGGTGGCGTTGGTGTTATGCGCGCCCCGCAGACTGAGAATTACATGTGGTGCGATAGCTTTAAACAGCATAATATATAATTTATGAGATAGAATACGTGATGGCGTTAACAACATCTAAGTTTAATTATACATATTCATATTTTTATACTTTTCAATACATGCTAACACGCTTTAATGCTTAAAGGATACGCAAAGATTCAGTCGTTTGATGGGAGCCGCCGCCGCCGTCAACGTTGCACATGCAAACGCTGCCGCCGCCGCATTTTTACTAAAACTCAAAATCAGCAAAAGAAAAACAATTCTGCAAAACAAAGTCTTAACAACAAAACGAAGCCAAATTGTGGGCTGCTATTGCCAGCGGTTAGAAATTAACTTAATTTAAGTAATTTAATTTAACAGAACTCCTAAAAATGTTTGTTAATTAGTCATGTTACGTGTCGTGGTGTTCTCTTAACCATTTATGCAGAGTTCAATGGATCAGATAGTGTATACATACGAAACATCCATGCATATTTGCATATGTTTAATTTATTGCAATTATCATAAGAGCACCGGTAGTTAGATAAGATGTATCCAAAAACCACGCGTTCATATTAAGTACTACGTGTGTAAAAAAAACTTATTGTTGGTTAAATTTCGTAGAAATTTCTAACTGTCCTTGCCTTTCTCGAAATTGTATGTAAAAAATCAAATGAATTCTATAACTATCAATAAAACAGCAGTGCTATAATTTAAATGATACGCACGTGCATAACTTGTTAAAGTGTCTAAATAAAAAGTATTAAGCAAATAACATATATTAATGTAAATTAAGGAATGCATGTGAATGAAATTGTATGAGAAATGATTTGAAATCATGATAATAATATGAGTAAGTAAATGAAACATAAATTATAGTCCAGCCTAACATGGGGCGGAAGATCAAAAGTAAATTAAAGTATTGGCCATGGAGTAATTAAAAGGAAATTCGATATATAACCATAAGTATTAAGCTTTATGTGTAGGTTACTAAGGTGGAATTAATGTTATTAGCAGCAATATTCGTCGTTGAAATGATATTTAAATCTTAAAGTATAAACATCAGGAAATATTGAATAAAAACAAATAAAATTATATTTAATTTCGATAAACAGCGCATGGCATAAAATAAATAGAAAGTGTACGAAATTATAATTGTATTAAGTACGGCATCAATTAATTGAAAGTATAAATAGCTGAACAGCAAAAGAAAATAAATTTGTAAAATACATCATATGTTATGTGTGTAAATAAAGGCTGCTTTGAAATTTAAATTCGAAATTGTGAAATGTAAGTAAGAGAAAAGAACATTTCCTAAAAACATTGCTACATGAATTTTTTGGTAATTCAACTCCAATAATTCACAATCGCAATGAAAATAAAAAATTAGCTATTATAAACATAAGCATATTATAAAACGTGTACTCGAAAACGAACAACTATATTAAGCCTTAAGTCTTACAGCTGCTTAAATTAAGCTATAGACACTAATTTTCAAAATTAACCATTTGTATTACTTAAGTGTTAAAATATTTACAGTTTTAAGCTATATGTAATAAACACAAACATTGAAAAGGCATATCTTCACAATTTTTTCTTTTCGTGTGGACTTTTCGATGTTTGTGGCTGTCTTAGCACAGAACCATTAAAAGAACCAATTTGTAATGCAAAGTGAATAAGGTCTCTGCTCATATGTATAATTTATTTATTTGTTTCTCTTAAAACGTTTAATTATTTTTCATAAAGTAGTCATTTAAAATCTCATTTACTGCTAAAGAAATTGTGTATTTTTACAATGTTTGTTTTAATAATATTTATTTCATCGCTATTTATTTGTAATTAATTTAAAATAAATTCGAACGTTATTTTATGTATTTTACAGTTTTGTTTTAATATACATATTGTTAAAAAGAAAAATTATAATAATAAATTTGTTGCTTCCCTAAGCATAAAAATGGCATTTAAAAAAAAAGTAATTTAATTATAGGCTTACATATTTTAGAGATATAAACAATGATTTAACAATGATAAGTATTACTATGGTTATAAATAAAATAATCAAAAAATAGTAATGCAATGTGTTAGCATTTCAGAAATAAATTAAGTTAAATAAAGAGTATAAAACGCCATTTAAATGGGTCTATGTTCTATTTATTTGAATGGTGCGGCTGTGTGGAGTACTCACCTAAATTTTTATCTAAAGATAACACTAATGTTGCCTTCTCCTAGTTCCTTAGACTCACACCGATTGTCAACTAGGGGGATTTTGAACAATGTTCAAAGTAAAGTCCTGTTACTCCACTTTGAAGAATTTTAGATCTCAAGATTAAATATAACAAGTGGAAAAGCTAGAGTCGGGTGGCCCAACTTTGAAATATTCTATACCTTTGTGTAATTCCGTACGCAGGGGAGGCCCGTTGACTGCTATTATATGTACTATTCGAAATCCTTACGTTCATACGGAGAGTCGGCCATGACTATATCGACTCGTCTGGTCATACTGATCAAGAATCTATATACTTTAAGGGGTCCGCTAATACACTTGAAGGTTGTACGATAAGTCTATGGAAATAACAATAATAACGTATATGGATCGATTTATTTTTTTAAAGCTGTTTTTTTTTATATAATTCGGTTGACAAGTTTTATAGCTTAAGAAATTTTTCTCTTGTGTAATTTAATTTATTTTTTAAAGCTTACATTAATTTTCGGAATCAGTTTAAAGATTTGATTGCTTTCCATTGCAAGACATTGCAGTCTATTGGAAATATGATCTTGGGGCTATGCTCAGGCTATATCCGGCATGGCGGCAGACTTTGATAATCACACTCTAGGCGTACTAAAAGATGAGATTTATAGCAATAAATTAAAAGTAATTTAGAGAAAACCCACAACCTTAACTCACCCGTGCTCTTGTTCTGATTCTCAAAGTTGGTCCAACTACACTCGTGCCAACCTGGATCGGCCTGGGGAATGCCGGGAAGATTTCTATAAGGTAACGCACTTGATCGTAGTTCTTGCACTCGTTCTCGCAATGCATGTAGAATCTCCCGATGTGGCTCGGAGTAGGCTAAGTTGTTACGTTCACAGGGATCGGCGGTTACATCGTATAGACACTCCTCCAACAAAGCATTGCATCCGCGCTGCATATCGGGGCAATGGACAGTCGCCTCTCTCCTTAGACTTTCTACACGTCTCTGCGTTAAGCGTTGGATGTCGAATGGCGCCAACGACCGCGAAGTAACAGAATTCCTAACTTCCACCACATAGCGACGATCTCGCGGATCTAGATCGTATGTCTCGCGATAACTTAACACTTGATCGTATTGGCCAGCCGATGTGGTGCCATTAACATACTTCCACTGGCCCAGCAGCAACGAACTTACATGCCACACATCGTCCAGGCTATGAAGGATTTCACGCGGCACATGTGGAGAGTCGCTGGGTCCCGCCAACTGTGGCCACAAATTAATTCCGTCCAATTGAAGAGACTCCGGGAGTGTAATGCCTGTCGCATGCGCCAATGTGGGAAGCCAGTCAGCCACATATATTGGTTGTCTAAAGATGCTGCCACGTGCTTCAAACAAGGGACTCCAAATGGCGCCTGTCAAACGTACCCCACCCTCCCAGGGCGTATTCTTTTGACCACGTAATGGCCAATTGGAACCGCTGTTTGAAAATAGGCCCACAGTTGGTGCTCCATTGTCCGAGTAGAAGATCACAATACTATTCTCCAGTTGAGCAGTGCTGGCCAAAGTGCTGATAACGCGACCCACACTCTGATCTAGCCGAGAGACCATGGCTGAAAAGAGTACTTGTATTATTTTGGATGGTTTTAATAGAAGTAAAGTTAGTTTTGAGATTGTTATCCATTATATAAATGTAATTAATTCCAAGAAGAAGAATTAATTCCAATAAATAAAGATATGTAGATTGATTTCTTTAAAAGAAGAAATTGAAAAAAAATTAAATTTTTAAGGTTAAGAATCGAAACTCATAATTAAGATCTATTCACTTACCCGCATATTTCCGTCGACTGGGATCTTTGATGTAGGCAAATTTTCGAAGCTCTTCCTCGGGAGCTTGTAGAGGATCTTCCTTGTTGCCCGAATGCGGCGCTAAATGACTTAAAATCATGAAGAGTGGCTTCTCCTGGCCCCTGTGGTTAGAGATGATGCGCTCCGCTTCATTTGTCAGCAAATCGGTTACGTACACACCCAGATCCGAGCACTCCAGCTGCATGTTGCGTCTAAGAACATGATAGAATATTACTTATATTATTCAGCTCATCAAAGCTCACCTAAAGTCGTAGCCCAGACTGGAGTTGATTTTTGGCATTTGAGCACGCCTTTGATAGTAGTCTATAAAGCCGCCCCAATAGCCATAATGATAGTCAAATCCACGATGTGTGGGCGTGTATTCGGAACGTGAGAAACCCAAATGCCACTTTCCAATCAAATTCGTAGAGTAACCGGCTTCTTGAAATATTTCAGACATAGTTGTTATGTTTGTGGGCAGCGCCCAAGGTTAGTTATTGCTAATTACAAAATGCTGGGTTCCTGTACGGAAAATAAAATACAAAATAAATAAGACTAAACTTCTAAAAAGCAAATAAATATTGTAAGAAGTTTTTTAACTACAAATAATTATTATTGATTTCAGGAGCTTAAAAACAATTAACTGTGAAATATTTTATTTAAAGTATAACGTTGTCCACTTTGCTGAAATCTTTAAATAGAAGCCCGGGCTTTGATATTTTTGTAGGGACAATGTTTATACCATATAGATTCATTTTCGGTGGCTGGTGATTCTTAATAAGTACTTTTATCACTATTTTGTTATGATGGCGAAAACTGTATTTTTACTAAATAATAATAATAATAATATTGAATTAATGTGAATTAATGAATACAATGCTAACAAAACGATGCCGTAACACTATTTTTTAATATTTAATCACCTGTGTGTATTGGGTATTTCCCACTCAGAAGTGCGCTACGCGAGGGTGTGCAAATGGCCGGGCCATACAGACGATCCAGCACTCTTCCATGATAGGCCAAAGCATCAATGTTGGGAGTTAGAAATTCGCGCCCGCCACGAAAACTCACATCGTCAAAGCCCTATATACAAACATGTGTACATAATTAATGTTTCTTCGTTAATCGCTTTACTCAACATCGAATACAACTTTTATATCGATGCACCGAAAAACTGGTTCAGCATTTCACCCACCATGTCATCGGCCATTATAATTATTATATTAGGTCGCCTTTTTGTCGGCAGTGCTGTTGTTGTATTTGTTGTGCCATATTTCACGCATAGGCATAGTAGTATTAGTGCTGATAGCCCCGCACGCATCTTGTTCACTTTAAAAATTAGACCGATTTCTTGAAGTAGATTTAAGCGATCTAAAGCGCACGGCAGCTCAAAACGTACTGAGGAATGTGTATAAAGATCTCGCCTTTATAAGCCGACCCGACTTTGATTGCAGTCGAAATATAATTACAACAGTTGTGACTGTCAATTAAAAGCAAGACTAGTTGCTAGTTTCTGTGAGCAATAACTTAACAAATTGCGGCAATTGTACAAATAAAAACGAAATAACTCCAGATACTCGGATCGATTTTGGACCTTGTGAGCGTGTCTCATAAACAAGAGGCTGGCTCTGTACTGACTGTTGCTCAACATACGCATGGCCCTTAAATACTCGTAGTAATACGAACTTAAATTGCTGCATACTTCTAGGCTGTTCTTTAAAACAGCCCTCTCCTCTTAGGGCAGCTTACATTGCAGTGAGAGGAAATGCTTTGTTTGCTTTATATTATTTGGACAGATTTTGTCCTCTTTTAAATTCTCAACGAATTTGTAGAGGAATCAATAAACTCTGTACGTTCATATTATTACTTGTATTTAATATTATTCATTTCAATTAATATTGCTTCGTATTGAAAAAAAGTTAGTTCTAACCCTTCGTATGACATTTTGTCTGATTTCATGCGGTTTTTATAGCCTGTACCCAAAGGGTAAAAGGCTTTACTAGTTTTGTGCGCAGGAGGCGTGGCAGACCCCACAAAGTATATATATTATTGATCAGGATGACAAGCCGATATAGCTACGTCCGTCTGTCCGTCCGTCCGTCTGTATGAGCGCAAGGATCTCAGAAGGTACAAGAGGTAGAATAACCAAACTCGGTAGCCAGATTCCCATAAGCCGTAGGCAGGTCAAGTTTATTTTTTTATTCTGATACACCCCCCCACTCCCCGGCAATTTGTGTTTTTTTCCATAACTCCCGTAGTTCTTGGAATTTCGAACTAAAATTTGGTAATTACATCGCGTTAGTGATTATGTGTCTGTATGTTTCATCATGATAGGTCAATTCTGAAGAAAGTTATAGCCATAAATAAAATCGCTGCCGACGCTCTGCTTGTAGCGCTGTCCGCAGCTGTTGTTGTTGTTGCTGCTTGGGTTCAACTTTGTGCTGCATACATACACGCATATAAACACGCCGAGACACGATTCTGATGTAAATGTATGCTGTTGAAACTGTACATGAACATGTCTTTCATTTAATTAATATAATTTTTTTTTAATTATTTAAAAAAATTTTTTTCATTTTTTTCTTCTTCGACTTGAGCTTGCTCGACTTTAGCATTCTTTTCTTGTTTTCATTAGATAGCGAAGGTAAAAAAATATAGGTTTTATTTTTGTTTTTTGAAATTTTTTATATTATTTTTTACCAAAGACGATGTGTTTCATTTCAACATCATTGTTGTTTCTGGGGTCAAAAAATGTCTGCAAATGAAAATTATAAAAACAAATTATTCATTTTATTAAAGCTTAATGCGACCCCACATTTTTAGTTGTACTTTATATATTTAAAAAAAATTAAAACAGGAATACTCTAATTTGCTTGCATCCCACGAATCACACGCGTAATACCTTGACCTTTAATACTTTTTTTTGGGGCCTCTACAGTTTTGTGTTTTTGTTCAATTTAAAAAAATTAAGGTGGTATCTGTGCTTTAGTATTATTCGAGGTGTACAAATGACAGCTAAGTAGGTATTTACTGTCATTGTAATGACGTATAGTAACTCTAAAATAAAAAAATACAATACTAATACAATTTTATGAAATGAAGTGTTGCTTTTGCCTCCCAGTGAGAACAGGATGCATCATAATTGGTATTATGTACATATTGTTGGGCCTGGCTGCAACTATCGCACTAAGTAAGTATATAAAACAAGCTATAAAAATTTATATTTACTCAATATATTGCCTTTTCAGTTGTAATAGGCATCAGTGCTACGTTTTTGAAAGTGTACTGTTTCTTGACTGTGCTTGTTTTGATATCAGGGATCATATTGTTAGTTCTCGTATTTTTAGTAAGTTAAAAAAATCCATTCACTTATGAGAATGAACAAGGTTGATTTGAATTTATTTAATTAGAATTTAAAAAAATTTGTTAAGTACTGGATGTACCTGCAAGGAGTCTATGGAAGTTTTGGCTTCATCTTCTATGCAATGAACTTGGAATCTTTTTCCATTGTACTTAAGGGTGAGAAGCTTGTACTTATTATCTTCGTAGCAGTGATAGGTTCGTAGATTTCATTTCATTTCTAAATATAGATGTTATATGTTTTTTTTATTTTTTTATTTTAGTGATCTTCTTGTATACTTTGTTGATTGCATATTCATATCAACATGAAGAAGATGATTAATATATATTATTAAATAATATAAACATTTTATGACCGCACACAGTTTGTTTTTAATCTTCAATTAGTACTTATTATTTGATACGAGAACCATGGTAATAATTTATTTATTAGTTTAGTGTGGAGTGCCGGACGCTATCCTGCCCTTGGCATTAACTGCAGCTATTAAACGTACTTGGAACGAGATTTCCCTGACCTAATAGAATTATTGCATCATTCTACGAGTATAAAGGACCGGATATATGAAGTTATTACCAACAAAGGAGCCAGTATTCATTACTGAAATTATTATACCCTGTACGCGTATGGTAAAAAGTATTAGGTTTGTGCACAGTATGTAATAGACAGATGGAAGGATCTCCGACCCCATAAAGTACTTATATATATTCTTAATCAGCATGACGAGAGAAATCGTTCCGTCCATCCGTCTGGATGAACGCCTGAATTTCGGAAACGGCTAAGCGTACATTGACCAAACTTGTTATACTCGTAAAGATGCTCCTATTCCCTAAGCTACACGACTTTATTTTATTCTGCTGAATGTTTTCCTCTAGCGTTCTCTTTTGTTTCATTTTGAAATTAAAAAAATATTAAGATTTTGTTTAAAGCCTTTTTATATCAATTGTTACCCAACTAGAAACCATGTATTACGAGGTAAAAACATTGAGTGTTATTGTTCGAGGTGTATGATGACAACTAAGTAGGCATTTACTGTCATTGTAACAATATATAGAAATTCTACAATAAGAATACAACTTTATAAAATGCTTGGAAAGTGTTGCTTTTGTGTACCATTGAGAACAGGATGCATCATACTTGGAATTGTGCATGCATTGCTCGGCCTGGCTGCAACTATCGCAATAAGTAAGTATCTAAAACAAGCGACGATAACTAAATACACAATACTTTCTTTTGTCTTTTCAGTTGTAACAGGCCTCGGCCCTACGTTTTTAAAAACCTCCTGTGTCTTGACTGTGGTAATTTTATTATCAGGGATCATATTTTTAGTTATTGCATTTCTAGTAAGTTAAAAAATTCATTCATTTATGGGAGCTAACATTAATACAAATTTATTTTATTAGAATTTACAAAAGTTTGTTAGGTACTGGATATATCTTTACATGTTCTGTGGAGGTGTGGGCTTAGTCTTCTATGGAAGGAAATACGAATTCTTTTCCCTTTTACTTAGAGGCGAGGCAGCTGTAATTATCCTTTTCATAGTAATGATAGATTCGTATATTTCATTTAATTTCTAAATATACGTAATGTTATATGTTTTTTGTTTTTAGTTATCTACTTGTACACTTTGTTGATTGCATATTCATATAAAAAGGAAGAAGAAGAAGAGCAATAAATAAAATAAAAATTTCATGACCCACCATAGTTTGTTTGTAATATTCAATTTATTTTTTGTTATGGGGAATATACTTATATATTCTGCTGAGAATGGATGGGAAGTGATGATTTATTTATTAGTTGAGCGTGGGGTACAGAGAGCCCTCTTTTGATAACAAAAGATACAAATAGTCTGACCCTTTTTTGTTTTATATTTAGACTTTTAACACGAGTTAAAAGTTTCATAAGTGATTTTAAATCGTACATGGGAAAATCATGTTTTTAAGAGACTGTCCTTATACTCGATTGTAACGCTTATTAGATGCTCAAATTAAAGCATCTATCAAAAATGTACAAATCTAACAAACTATATACCCAACATTAATTGCCAAGCTATAATTATAATTAAGCGACAACAATATTATTGGCCTTGGGCTACTTAACAAGCGCTTCCCTCTTTGGTGGCTGCACCATCTATGCTTATATAGAGGTAGACGCATATAATACTAATACTCTTTCCCAGCTACATGCATGCTGGAACCCCATCGACTACCACGTCAGTGTGCGAGTGGGCGCAGGCAGCCCGCAAATGGCGTTGTGGACTGGTATGGCCAGGAAACCGGCGAGTGCAATGCCATAAGAGTCCGATTGGACGACCATGGCCATGGCAAACTGTCGTCGCTCGGGCGATATCTCTTTGGACATGCGATAGAAGGTGTTCACATAGGCACCACCGCCTAACAGACCCTCCCACAGAACAATAACGAACACAATCCAAATGCTGGGCGTGTAGAACCAAATGACTTCCGTAAGGAAGTAGGCCACATTAATGAACTGAAAGATGGACATGAGCCAGATTTTGTTCAGTTGAAAAACGTTCACCGAGGAACGCGATATGAACACGCCAATTTGGTAGTCCACGTTCAGCCAGCGATATTGTGCGGCCTTGTCCAGCACGCTGTTCTCAAAGAAGACCAGTTCGAACTGCAATTAAAGAAGAGCTTAATAACGTGCTGTATTCAAGTTGGGAGGCTGAACTTACCAAGCCCTGATTGATAAAGTATTCGAAAAAGTAAACCAATGCCAAGGGCAGCATATACTTAAACAGCTGTTTGATATAAAGTAATTTTTCTTTGAATCCCACCAGTGGTTTGTCGTCACTAATCAGCTCCTCCGTCGACTCGACAGTGCTTACTGGCAGAATTTGTGGACGGCGCAGTAGCAGCCAGAAAGATAACGCCTCAATGACTGGGAAGATGAGCATTATCAGCATAGTATCGCGAGGACTGACATCAAGAGAGCGAAGCGTTGCATAGCTGAGGGAGCCAATAACGCCGGCACCGCCAGTACCAGAGGACCAGGTGGATATCACATTTCTGGAAAAGAGAAAACACTTCAATTTAGTTTGTCATTCACTTAAATGGGAAACTTCGCTCACTTATTAAAGTGCGAGGAGTAGGCCAAAAAGGTGGTCTCGCCAATGCCACTGCTGGCCGAAGTTATGATGACCCCCAACAGAGCCATCCACTCCGCATTGGCAAATCCAACAAGGAGAAAACCCGCCGCTGAGAAAGCCACGGCCAAGCCAATGCGTATGCTGCAGGGGCATTAATTATTAATTATAGCTTGAAAATTGTAACAATTTTACAAACGTACTTCACCCAAAATGGAAAGAAGGGCATCAGCATTTTGACAAAGAGGGAGGGCAACACATCAGCCAGCAATATAGCACCTGTTGATACCAGATGGCATTGACGTCCAGCACCGCCATCCGCAGAGTCATCTTCAGTCTAAAAGATTTTTTTTAAACAATTTTCAGTTCACATAAATATAATGCTGCAATATTTGTTTTACTAATTTAAATAATAATACAAGCAAACGATATGTAAAACATATAAAAAACATCAATATTTAAAATGATTTCAGCGGTTGATGTTTTTATTTCCAGTATTTTTATGGTATTTTATTTTTATACTCTGTACCCAAAGGGTACAAGGGTATATTAGTTTTGTGCGAGTGCACATGGAACACACAGAAGGAGGCTTGGTAGACCCCACAAAGTATATATATTCTTGATCAGCATGACAAGCCGAGTCGATATAGGCATGTCCGCCTGTCCGCCTGTCTGTCCGTCTGTCTGTCCGTCTGTCTGTCTGTCCGTCTGTCTGTCCGTCTGTATGAACGCAAGGATCTCCGAAAGTATAAGAGCTAGAATAACCAAACTTGGTATACAGATTCTCCTGAGACCGAGAAAGGACGAGTTTGTTCATTTTTTCTGATCCATCCCCCCACTCCCCCCCCCCCCCCCCCCTATTAACGATTTTCTATAACTCCCGTAATTCTTTTAATTTTGAACTAAAATTTGGTAGTCACATTAGGTTAATTAATTAATTTAATTACTTTTTTGTGGGGTGGTACAGGGTATTTAAGAGTTGAGCCAGCTCGACTTTAGCATTCCTTTCTTGTTTCTTTTTAAGAACGAAGATACATGACACCATAAGCGTATTAAATATCCAATATCTGTGTAAAACTTTTTGCAGTTTTTGAAAACTTCAAATATTTGTAAAAAAAAAGTGGTGATTAAATAGGGTTTTAAGTTACACATTAACCAACGACTTGACAATTTATGCCAATAATAAATAACTGATTGTGAATTTAATTTTTCCTTCTGGGTGTTAAACACGGGTTATAAGATATACTATATATCATACAGCAAGCCTTATACAAATGAATTATATACAAGCCCATTAGATGATTTTTGTCACTCACTTCATCATTGAACTGTGCGATGATATCATGAGCCGCACTCAACATCACCACATAGCCATAGTTGTTGCACAGACCCAGTATCCAATAGGCTGTCAAATCACGCCACAAGCTGCGATCATTTCTTCTGCCGTGCGCTGCCCCCGGAGGTGCCACCAGAACTTGGGGCTGATGGGTTGAGTCGCTGTCGCCCGCTTCCTGCTCCTTGCTGGGCGACATGCTGCTGCTGAGGATTTCTGGAAGACAGCGTGGGAGAGCGTTAGGTTAAGTGAGATTTCTCTCTAAGCGTGGCTCCACCTGAGGACTGGCTATCTGGCCACAACTCCAGCTCGACTTCATCTTTGGTGCTTAGCTGGTTATACACAATACGTTTACGCTGGTTAAATACTTTCAGTTGCTTGTGCATGTAGTTTTGTTAATTTACCGACCAACGATATTTTTCCTACTATACTTGGTAATTTTGCTAATGAAAGTTTTTTGTTTGATAAGTTGTATTTCTACAAGTATGTACATATGTATATAGTTTATAGCTATTGAGTGCCTATCAACGAGGCGCGCTCTCGCTCTTCAACTCTTTGCTCAGGTGTTTCCCAGATAAAACGAATTGGTAATGGGGTCGAACGGCAAGAGCGTTCTCTTATCGACTCTTAAAAGCAAGAGCACGTGAACAATTACTTAATGTAATTTATCAAAAATTAGTTAGTTCAGAGCATATACAAATTTTCAATCGTAGATTGCATTCATCATTTCGTCAATTTATAAAGCTAAGCATGTCCGCCTGTAGTTGGCATTGAACTTGAACTGTTTCCTTTATTAAGCAAATTTGTAGATACGTGCTTAAAATTCAAAATGCCAAATTCATTTTTCTATTTAGTAAATGTAAATGTAAATAATGTAATGTAAATAAAACCAAGCAATTGTCGCAATGTGAAAACTAGCTGGACCCTAATTAAATGTGTTCTTTTTGTTAATTAAATAATCAATAACTTAAATTATTCCACACATGTGCTTTATTTTCGTACAAAGTTAAGCCTTACTTCGCTTGCGTCACTAACAAAAGTAAATCTCAATTTCTTACACCTCTTAACTCGTATATATTTACATAAAAACTGAGGCGAATACTTTATGCCTCACTATTTTGTAGAATTTTACATTCTGCCTACAGCAAATGACCATATGCTATAACTTAATAGTTATCTCGCAAATATAGACTTAAGTAAATTCAAAGGCATAAGTAAATGTTTAAACAGTAAATAAATAATAATACAAAGCTAAAAAAAAGACGATATAAGTTTTCAATTACAATCAAATTGAGTTTTCAATGTTTGGCCGAACTCAACAAATTTGCGTAGAATTGCTCAAATACATTAACTTTTGTCCATTGTTATATACTATACTATATAGTATGTTGTTGTTGCTATTGTTTTCTGGCACACCCCTCGTACCGGATGTAAACAAAATCGATTGCTTGATCAGTTTATTGGCACCACACACCGAATTGTGATCAAAGTTCAAACGATGCCAAAACATCTTGTGACTGTTCTAAAGGAAATTGTTAGCAAATTAAATTCTTATTAAATGCTTTATATAAGAGACTGCAGTATATATGTCAGTCCCCTCTCTTGATAAAAAGTTGAATCAAATGAGCTAAAAAAATTAAGATTAATTATGTTACATACAGCACTCTAATTGAATTATTTAGATTTGGAGCAATAAATAATACTAATAATAATAAATAAATAATTCACAAAAATCTCAGAAGCCTCAGAAACTACTTCTACAGCAATTTTTAATTGGTTGGGTGCAAGTTATTCTTTTTTTACAAATTTAGGCAGATATTGTCACCGCTTCGTACAAACACATTTACTTCGAAAACTACAATTTTCAAATTTACTTAACAGGTGCTTACAGAAATTTTAGATGAATGCATATATCTGTCGGAATGTGTATCTTTTGTCGACCCAATTGTATTTAGGTACATATACATCGTTTGGTCCGATTTCCAGACACATACCAACATATTTGACACTCAGCCAAGCCGAATGCATTTCAAAATTTGAGACCTTAAAGCGATTCAAAGTAAACTGAGACGTTCAATTCTAGAAGATTGCGACATTTGCCTTCGTTTTAAATTTTTAGCACAGCAATAAATTGGTGTCATTCACATCAACTTTATTTAAATATTTTTCCACTGAGTTTTTCAATACTCAAGCAAATGATCTATATTATAGTTTGTTGACACAGTTTTCGAAATGTTTTTGACAATCGATTAGCCGGAAATACTACTTAAGTTGTTTGGCAGTAGAACGTTAAGGACATTGAATAATAATTGAAATATAGAAGACTGCACGACATTATCACTAATCACTGGCTGGGAATTGCTTAATTAGTCCGTTATTTTTCCTAAATGCATTTTTGTTAAAACACGTTTATATACAATTTCTTAAAATACATAAAAATGTTCAACACACCTTTCCAACAGCTATTTTAACTATGTATGTATGTATGTTTGATATCAAATTCCTAAACAATTTCTTATCCTTCTTCCTATGTACTAGAATATATTGGGCACGGAACACGACAATACGCGCGATTAGGCGTCTGGTGAGCGACTGAGCGTAAACAATTCAGAGTCGTCCAATGAATGACGACTACGAGAAACCTCGAAGGCCCAAATGAAATCACGCGAGTCGTGCGAGCAATGGCATAAAAAACGAAAAAATAAACACATAACAGTAGCAACAAGTGCCAAATTGTCGATCAGGTAGGTAATTATGCAGATTTTTATATACAGGGTGCTTGTATTGAGAGCCTTAAAGGAGGGTATTCACAAGGCTGTGTTATGTGACAGGTATTTTGGCCGGCTGTCAGCTGCCAAATGTGTCTGTAATCTAAATCTTCTTAAAATAAAGCAAACTTTAAATAAAATCAAATAAATTTAATTAATTTGCAAATATGGTAATGTTTTAAAAACAATTAAAACAATTAAGACTGCGTTCCACTCAAGTTAAAATCGATTTTAAATCTATTGCTTTATATCAAGAGTCCCACAAATCTGTACAGCCACACATACAAAGTATTTGTAAGATTTAAGTTATTCTTAATGTTTTTATGAATTTTTCATTCCATTTCAAATACTTCAATTATAAACAAATCAAGTTACTAATAATCGGAGTAAAAGCGAAAGTAAACTTTGAGTTGGTTGCTCAGCGAAAACCGAGTATTTAAAGAACACCCTTTATTTAATGCATTGTCTACTTTAGTACGAATGGGGCAAGCAGCGACAATGTTTAGGCATTCAAAAGTTTGTTGTTTTTGTTTAGTCAAACGTGTCTAGATAGTTGTAACGAAAACGGGGGTCCCATTCAAATAGTAAACAGAAGGTTGACCGGCAGCGTCACGTTTGAAGCAATTACCTATGTATTTCCAGCAGCTCCTAATTTCAATCATTTAAATTTTTTTTTAGTAAACGGTATATGAATGAATTCGTGGTTGTGCTTTTGGACTATTCTATGTACCCGGCACACGTGTCCTATACGTAATGTCAATAAACTAATAGATATGTATATTGAGTACCCACTTTAGAAATCGAAAACATGTCACTAAAATGATAGCTTTCATAATCTTTCTAAGTAAAGCAAGAGGCATAACGATTACTTGCTCTTTATTTATTGGTAAACCGATTAGATTAAAAGCTTCTTCCAGTTCAATGACAGCAGAGTTCTACTAATTAAGTAAATTCTGCTATATGTATAAGTAGATTTGTTGGTAGGCTTGCATAATATTATTTTTATAACTTTTCAAATTTATAATTATTAGCAATAATAACGTACAGAAACGTCAACTTTTTAAATTTTGATAAATTTTGTAAACCATATTTGTGAATAAAGCTTAACTTCAGACTTTCCAGAGGCTAAAAACAAATATAGATGGAATTTTTCTAGAATTTTAAAGCAGCCTTATTTTTCCAAGTGATCGTCCATTAAAAATTTTAACATTCTTCATAACAATTTGTTTACTATTTAGCATTCACGTTTATCCTAGAAGTGGAAGCACGATGTCTACAAAAAGATTCGAAGTACATGGAGAAGGAATGAATTATTTTCACTAAAATCGCTAATCACCATATCATTATTTTAGAATTTAGCTTCACGGTTTTTTTTTAAATAAATGTTGTTGCTTTTGAGAAAAATAAATATAAATATAATGAAATGTTTAAATTGCAAATTTTGAACTACTTTGTAATTATACTTTATTAGACTTTATTCATTAAAGAGCTAAGGAGCTTCATAAAATATATATAAAGTTATCGGACTTATTTCCAAAAGCTACCATGAAATATTTTTAAATTTAGACACATTTTGATAAGAAAAGGTTACAATTGGCAAGAATTGTTATTCCTTTCTGGTTTTCTTACAGCACTGCTCTTGCTCGTAAATCTTATAATTAGCAAAAATTTAATTTAAACAGCCGCTCTGCTCGAGTTATAATCGTACTTTTCATTTTGTTAAAGTACAAAATGAACACTTGTTTATCACCATATACTAAGTATATAGTTCAATGTCAATTTCATTGTTGGGCTCATTATTTTAAGTCGTTTACTCAGTAAATGTAAATTTCACATTATGTTCAGTACCACAATGCTCGCACCTTAGCAATTCACCGCTGGAGTACGATTCGTGTCACTCACAGCTAAATTAAAGTGTTAAGCAAGTTCTTTACAGGGTGTAAGTATTTGTATTAACGTGCTCGAGCGAAGAAACCCGACTGGAGACATCAACTCATGCGAAACACTTAACGTGTTATTGACGTTATCTACATATTGTGCACGGTTAGAGATTAAAGGCACATAAAGTCCCAACTGCCAGGCAATCTGATAAGAGGCATTATAGGCAATATAAATCTCGAGATATAAACTTTGCAATCGGATTGAGTCAGTAACTGGGGAATGAGCCAAGATGTAGTATGAAGCAGTATCCATTAGGAACCAAATGGGTTATAAATTGTTCAAATGGCTGTTTTAGTAATAATTAAAGCACTTTGTTAACAACTAATTGTAAATGGCTCTTGGCACTTTCAACAGAAAAAACTCTGGAATATTTGTTCGATTGCGTTTTTTGTCACGTTCAGAAACCGCCGATTTCAATTTAAAGCCACAGCCACAAAGTATGTGAAGCATAAAAACTGAATGAGGGCTGTTGGAAGTGTTTGCGCAAAACCAAAACATGTTGACAAATTGCGCAAAATAAAAACGAGTCAAGGGGCGGGCAAACTGGGATTGTCAGTAGACAGCTGTGCGCTGCTTGATAAAGACAAGTTAATGTTGTAAATAATTTACAATTGAATGTCAATTGAGAGTCCCCCAACGAGTGGGTAACAAGCTTGTAGGAAACTAATATTAACTCGGTTGGAGTGATTCCAAAGAAGGGTATTTATTATGTGCTGATTTGTTGATAACCATGCTGGGCTGGTAGTTTGTCAATGTCTCACATTTTGTAAATATAGTATGCAAGTAAGTACTGAGCAGTAAATGCTTAAGTCTACTACAATATCTACAACCCAAAAGCTATGCTGCAGTACTTAATCGACAATGGTTTGAAATCAAATATTTCCAAAATATTATATTTAGCCATTGGAGAATTCTTAAATTGATTCCAGACCTGCTTCTAATTTCAATTTTGATTATATTATACGAATTGCGAAAACAGAATCCAGTAGATAAGTACCCTGATCGTGGACACAGAGAATGCAATTATAATAAACACAGTGAGAGATGTTCAGAATCCAACGATGAATCGTTGGTTTACATTTCTTTACAACCAAGACATGATATATCTTCTTCAAGTGATATTTTCAGCTCTATTCACCATCACTTATAGTTAACAAATTACATAATAATTGAATTCGAAGACTTAAAGAAAAGCTAACATTTAATTAATAAGGCGAAGAAGAGTACACAAAACACAAATTAATTCCAAAATAAAGATGTAGAAGCATTTTATAGTATAACAACATTCTATTACTACTCATTAGTTCTCGCTTAAAATTCAAAATTACTACGAATATTAGAAGCTGTATTTCAGAAATACCAGTATGACTTACTTATAATATAAATCATATAATGAAAATAACGAAAAAGTCTACTTTCAATTACATTTCCATTTAAATTTGTTAATCTTTTTTTCTTTTGTCTTTCCATATAAATACAGAAAGTGAAAATCCTTGTTTTAATGAAGCATTTGGTAAAAGCGAAAAGGTAAATACTTTTAGCGCTATTGCGTTATTGCTTTTTGTGTTAATGAGCCAGCAGCTTATCTCTGTGGCAAGAAACATGCGGCGCTACCAAATTTCAATGGCCTGGGCCATCGCATAAAAAGTGGAAACAAAATGGCGAAATGAAAATCAAAGCTGAAAATAAAAAGTGAAAAAACCCGGTTGTAATATTTTAATGCAAAATACGAAAATCGCCCAAAAACATGGCCGCATGTTGTAGTTGTGGAACCGTCGCGCAACGAGCCGCATCAACAATTGCAAGGGAGCTTCCGCTTTCCGGCAAGTGTTTTTTTATTTCTTTCATTTTTTTGGCGACCATGACTGCATAATTTCGCAAAGTTAATGCAAAGTGTTTTTATTTTGCATAATTTTGCAGCCGACAAACAGCTTAAAGGGGTTAAAAAACAGCGTGCCGGGTAGGTGAGCCTTATATTAAAGGGTTGCGTATACGCCATGTATGACCAAATACAACAATTTAATTTTTCAGTGCGCGACTGCAGTTAAGTCGACGAGTGGCGCGTCATGTAACGATGATAGCCTTTTTCCAGTAGCAGCAGCAAAAGAGCCACCATGTAGGCACAGAGCAGCATGAAGAACAGGGGCGCCACATACTCCATACCCACTTTAATGACGAAGTTCTGGGCGAAGCAATGAAGTTGCGTATGCACCCAATAGTTGCGTTGCTTGCGGTAGACGCCAGTTTCGAGCACGCGCAGCAGTCTATAAGTTGAAAAAAATTGAGGAAAGGATCATATTTCTAAGACCTTTTGCACTGACTTGAGCCGCACCAACTCCTTGTAGGTGGAGTTGCGATGCAGGTGCGTGTAAAGTAATTGCTCCGGCCGGAATAAAACTTCATTGAGATCGCAAATCTCCTGAGGCTCGTAGTGCCGCTCCACATAGGCATAGCCCGAAGACGACTCAAAGACGAACACATAGCCAGGATTATCCCGTACACGCAAAATTCCTTCTTCGGCAGGTAGCCAGAGCTGATTGTTTTTCGTCTGTGTTTCGATTTTGCGTTTCCGAAAGAGATGAACTTCCGGGAGCTTTGAGTACTATCAAAGAGATAAAGAAAGAAAGGAAAAAATACAGAGAGAGAAAATAAAAACAAGAATATTATGAATGTAAAGAAAGGAAAAAATGTATGGGAAAGGAGGATGGTTAGAAAGACCACAAGAGTAAATCGATTAGAGATTGTGAAGAGATTGGTCAAGAAGAGTTATCCAAATCAGAAAAAAATACACCGTAAAATAAAGAGAACGAGAGATCATGAGGAGAGAGAAATATGTACAATACTTTGAGAGGAAACTGTGAGGATTAACTGTGGAATAACAAAAAAAAAAAAAATATATATTAAAGATTAAAAGCGCATTTTAAAAATTTAAAGCCTTGCATGATATATAAATTTATAGATTCTATGTTTTCGTATACAATATTTGAACTGAGGAAAAGTAATTTTATTTACAGAAGAAGCAGCAAGGAAAGAAAATGTTAAAGTTCCACTGGCGATGACTTACGTTCAAATAGCTCTTGGTAAACGACAACGGCTCCAAGCCCACGGGCAGCCCGCTCTCGGCCAATTGTTTTAAAGTCTTTATCTTCGATTTGACCGGCGAACTGAGCAGCGATGACACTACGACTGAGGTGTAGTAGTTATACATGATGAAGCTGATCAAAAATAGTGAAAAAAAGGCCAGGCGTCCTCCCGAAGAGCGTGGTATTAGGGCCGAGCTCTGTATGCAGGCAGCACCAAAGGCAATTAGCATTGTGCTCAACAGTGATGGGACAAAGGCGAGCTTCTGGCTAAGCCACTTGTATTCCATGTTGAATGTGAACCATAGTAGTAGACCCGTCATAAGCAACACTCCGGCGAAGATAAACCAAACGAGCGTACTGAACGGTTGCAGGAAAACATCGCCACGTATTCCGGCATTATGTGGTGTCCGAAACATGCAAACGGAACGAAAGTAGCCAGTTTCAATGATGGCGGACAAATAACGCAAACGTCCTTCCGTGGCCAGCGAGGGTGAGGAACCTATCTCCGCCTCTTTACTAATCACAGCGCCCACCGTTCCGCCGGTGACATCATCCGTACTCCAACGATCCGTGAAGATAAAATTCATTCTGTGTTAGAGATAGACCAAGTTCAATTTCACATTTCACCCAACCCTGTGGAGCAGATCTTACTCGCAATTCAGCATATCCCTTAGTATGAGCAGGATGTGAAAGCCGAAACGCGCTATGCCATCAATGTGGGTGTCGTTGTTCTGGTTCAGAAACTCTATCAATTTGACAGCTGGCCATGTGTGAGGTCGTTTGGTCACCACCGTGGACACGCGAAACAAGACATCGGGCAGCATGTTTCGATTGGCATATTTGGAACGCTGGTGCAACGAGCTCAGGTACCGGACGGTATCACAATCGGCAACATTGCAAACCAGATCCCTGTCTGCTGTCACATTAAGCTGGCCACCTATGAGCTTGCCATTGTTGTAGACATCGTAGAGCGTGTAGGTGATATTGTTGTTCAAGGAGGCTCTCTCTTGAACGTAAGTCACATCAGCATCCACGGATATATTGAAGGGCGCAAAGTATTTGTAGAATTCAAAAGTTGTCGAGTTGCCGTGCAACAGCCAGTGGTAGTGCTGGTTGTAGAGCTGATCCTGGCTACTCTATAAGTTTTGGGATATAATAAAAAGGCGCAAAGTATTTGTAGAATTCAAAAATTCAGCGGTAGTGCTGATTGTAGAGCTGATCCTGGCTACTCTATAAGTTTTAGGATATAACTAAAATAATATCAATACTGACTAAAAAAAGCACCAAGCTCCATTTCCATTCGACTCATAGGAGTAGTTTAGTCATGCTTAAGTCTATAGAAGTATAAAATTTTTGGCTAAAAATAATTCTTGAATCATAAAACATAAAGAAACTGAATAAAAATAAACTTGGTACTTACAATGGCTGTGTCTAATGAATATAAATCTGCACAGTACTTTAGGGATTGACAGATTTATAAAGCTGCATATATAAAAACGTTTTTTTTTTTCTACTGATATATGAGCCTGTTTGTGGGCATTCATTGTTTCCTGAAAGATAATGATATAATCTACCCACCTGTTCCAATACTGCCTTAGACTGATTACAGTTCATGTCGAGATAAACCGCCAGGGTTGGCTCCAAATGTATAAAGAAGCGATACTCCAAATCGGACCAATCTCTCGTGTCGCCATTAAGTGAAACAAACTGCATATAGAGGGGCTGTTGTTTGTTTATTTGGTGTACAAACAGTGAAGCTATTGAAAGTGAGGGCATCAACAGATTTAATATTAAAGATTACACTCGCACAAGATTAAAAGTATCTACTTTCATTCGCTGGCCAGCAGTGAAACAAAATGATGAAACTTAAGCGTGACTGCAGCAGGTTGTAGAGCAAAAAGTTGGCCAATTGTAGTGCTGGCATCATATAGACTTTAACACTTTTATTCGCTGTACAAGATTGACAATTTTTGGCCGAGCTACCCGTACGTGGCTTTTATAGCAACATTGTCGGGCAGACGGCAAAGCAATTTGATTAAATTGGTGCCGCCTGTCAATATGTTTGTGCAATTTTTTCGTTATTTGTTTAAACTGTGCAATTTCGTAGTAAGCAATAAAAATCAACATTCGATGCCCCTCGCACTTTAACGGACACGGTTTCTCCTCAACCTTTCCCGTTTATGCCAAACGATTTCCATGAGAAAAATACACATGCAGAAAATGTAGGCGCAGAGCAATATAAGGAACAATGGCGCAGCATAGTCCAGACCCACATCGACCGTGACATTGCTCTGATAGCAATGAAGCTTGATTCTGCGCCAGTAACGTTCGTGCTTCATCTGGACACCCGTTTCCATCATTCGCAGTTCACTGAAAACCAAATGGATGTGAATAGCCAGCAGATCGCTTCGAAGCATCAGACCCACCTTAACTTAAATAGCTCTACGTATGGGGAACGCTTGTTCACCAGGGTATGAGTTGCAGTCTCGGCTCTCAAGAGTATTTCATTCAATGCACAAATCTGGTGTGGCATGAAGTGCTTGCGTACAAATTCATAGGCCGTTGTGGCCTCAGCCAGAAACACATGTCCAGGATAGTTGCGCACCTTTAAGACTCCCTCTTCGCCTGCCATCAAGATGTCCTCCAATGGACGATTGCTTTTGACAACCTTGTTATGGTACAGGCTGCGTATGTCGGGCCTTCCAGAGGTCTGCAAAAATACAATAGGCTCGGAAATCATATTCATATTAATAGTATTTTTGATTTGCCTCAGCATCCCATTTATTCTTCCATCTACTCCAATCAACCATTTTCAATTTAAATTTTGCTACAAGGCAACCAAACTGAAACTAAAATAATTCTTAAATGTGTGAATATAATTTACAACAATAAGCTTAAAGCGCTCTTAAAACACATAGTTTTTGCTTATTAGTCTTAAAACATATTTATAAATTGCGAGCTAACATTTACTTTGGATTTTCAATTCAATTCGTAAGTGCCCACAATATCAATAAAGTTTCTTGCCAACTCATTCTAGACTTAGAATACTATATTAAAATTGAGTTTCAAATAAACTCTATAGCTATATTTTTATTTAGGAAAATAGATCATTTATTATTCAGTCAATTTTATTAACATTCTACATTAAACAAGGAACTTTAATTGTTGATTACAAGCTAAAACGTTCAATAATGGAGTGCTGTACTTGTAATTGAATGTTGTGGCTCATCAATGATGAGATAATTTTGGAGTAAATAAAATGTAAATTATTTTCGTGTTTCAGCAAATAATTTATGCTTTTAAGCCTTTATTTGCGGTGCAGGAGAAGTCACCATTGAATAAACACGCTCTGTTCCAGCTCGGTTGGTAGTCCTCATCCTGGGACTGTGAATATTAGCCGAATTTTTAGCTCGCTGTGCTTCTCAAAATTATATAAATGCATTTTTCGAATTGAATCGGCTTTTGAAGGAAATAACACATTTAAAAAACATCTAACTCATTGCCATTCAATGCATCGATTTTCTTCGGGAACATATTCTTGAAATTTTAAGGACGTTTGATAACTAACCTCAGATATATTGTGTGAGGGATTGAATGATATACTTGTATATATGAGCTGGAGTTATATAAATATAGAATACACAATTTTAGTCACTCCACATCCATTTGATGATTATTTATATAAGTATTCAAAGGAAATAAGAACATGGCTTTTCTGCAACAGCTTTAGATTAAAGCCGAAGACTTTTTATAGGTTGCGTATCCTTGAAAATCATATTTAAAAAGCTTAGTAATTAAAAAAGTTTAAAATTCCTGAAACAAAATGAAAAGGCAAAATTGTAATGGAAACAAAATAAACATAAAAGAAAAGAAAAAACAAATCAAACCAAGATCTAAAATGTAATATTTATTTCTAATCATAAAACAATTTGCCCAACTATTTGTATATATTAAAGCAATTCATCAAACATTGGTTGCCTGAGTCTGTTGATACCAGCTTTCGACCAAAGCTTTGTCACATTCAGGTGTGCATTCTTTCAGGAAATGAAAATCCCTTCTTCATTATTTATGTAGATGAGAGTATTGAATAAACAATTTTTATTTTAATATTTTTAACAAGGTTTCTTTAAACTTCTACAAAGCTATGACATTAGCTAAATTATATCAATTTCAATAAATCCAATCACATCGTTAGTAATATAGATATTAGTAACATTTCTGCAAGTTTATAATAAAAACTATATAATATGAAGGAAATTGGTACCGAAAAACATGGCCTAAATCAATTAAGGAGCAAACAAAAGCGTTTCTATTTCAAGGACTGACTCTAAAAGTCTAGTCCAACCAATCTATCACTCATTTAAGCCTGATATGAAAATAATAGTTAAATACATTTTGCTTTCAAAACTAAAAGATAGCAGGTTTCTTTGTCAATTTCGATGCAAACTGTGCAAAAATTAAAATTTTCAAACTTGGCTGCCTGACAAAAAAAGATGGCATGTAGGAATCAATAAATTTGAGGCAGTGTACTTATATGCTTGATATAAACAAATTATAGGAACACATACATACGTGTATTGCATTAGTTTGTAGGTGACGTACACGTGTATATTTATGTATATATGAAGTGCTAATACTTTACCTGAACATAGCCCCAAACGTAGGGTGTGGTTTCGATGCTGACATCAAGCGCGCTATCTGCCAGTTGTTGAACAGTTCGTATGTTCGAGTGTGCCGGCTTGCCCAGGAGCGTGGAAACCACAATAGACGTGTAGTAGTTGTACATCATGAAGGATGTTAGCATCAGGAAATAGAAAGCCATGCGTCCGCCTGTAGAGCGAGGCATCAGCCAAGCGCCTTGTATGCACGCAACCCCGAAGGAAATCAGGCAACTGGTCAGCAGCGATATGTTAAAAGAACACTGCCGTTCCAGACGAAAGGTAATCCAAAGCAGAACGCCGGCCACGAATAAGAGAGCTCCAAACATGAGCCATACGGAGGGACTGAACGGCTGCAAAAACTCCGTGGAGCGCAATTTGCCACTGGGAGCATTCAGAAACATGCCAATGGATCGAAATGTAGAGAATTGGGTCAGGGCACGGAAATAAGGGGCGCGTGCACTTGTGTATATAAAAGGAGATACGGAGATGTCCGCTGTTTCATTTAGCAAGTCGCCAATGAGGCCGCCTGTAATTTCAGCACTGGTCCAACGATCCCGAAAGATATACGCAAAGCTAACGAAATAAAAGTGTCTGCATATCAAGGAGATTCCTCTTGTGGGCTAGATTTTAATAGCTTACTGGCATCCCAACATATCCTTCAACGCCTGGCGCGATTGATAACCAAAGCGGGCGAAGCTGTCGATGTGTATATCAGATATGCTTTCTAAAAATTCAATGATTTCAGCTTCGGGTGTAGTATTAAGTGGTAAGGTGCTGACCTATAAAATAAAATTATGTTTTAAAAAGACAAAATACTAGTTTTTACCAAAAATAAGGTACTCTTTGATTCATTATGGATGATTAAAAATGGAAGCTTTCAACCATATGAGAGTTAAAAATTTATAAGTTTACCCAATTACTTATTACTTTAAAAAATGTTATTATTATTGCTTTCACGACTTACCACAGCAGTCATTCGTAACGTTAGTCCTGTGAGCCATTTTCTTTGCTGAAAGCGACTACGCTTATACAAGTCACTTAAATAGCGTTTTAGATGACATTTGGTCTCATTACAAGCTATTTCTTGGTCCCTGGTAATGTTCAGTTTGGCCCCTAAGTGAACGCCCTTGTTGTAGAGATCGTTGAGAATAAAGCTAGTGCTGCTTTCTGAACTTGTATTAATGTAGATATAACATAGATCGGTATTGATTGATAATTGTGCTCGCTCGTAGTATTGTGTAATGTTTGAGATATCAGCGTATTGATCATACAACATCCAGTGATAATTCTCAGTGTAGAGGTTCATGTTATTGGCCTCAAGTATGAGTATATCAAAATTAGTCATTTGTTAAATTTCTTAAGAAAGGATTACTTACAATATCCATGACTTCGACACTCTGATTGCAGCGTAAGTCCAAAAAGACACCCAGTTTTGTAAGCTTGTGTTCTATAAGATGCATTTTCAATTTCTCAGGAAGTGAATCCTGCTGGTTAAGGTCTATGTATTGTGTGTAACAGTTTGCTGAGTTAGCCAGGTGTGCAAAGCGTTGAAGTGCTGTTGACAGAGATCAGGTGAAAATATTGTTATTTTGTAAAATACTTTTTGAGTTCAACCGACCTTAGACTTCAAAATTTTTACAAACTCTTTTATTTTTCAAAAAATGGGATCGAACATGGATTAACATGTGGATGGGATCGAACCTTATATCTATAGTTCTTTATTGAATCGACACCTAAATACTGTTATGGCTTTTAAAAATTAAACTGAGAACTTCAACTTTTAAATAAATTCGTCTAGTCTAGTAATTGATAAAAGTTAAGAAAAGTGATGAAACTGAAGACTGTAGTAACAATTATTAATTATTAACTAAGCATTCTACTCACAGCCAGCTGACCAACAATGCAAAATAAGTACTTTATTCAAATTTGCCATATTTAAAAGGTTATAGAGTATTAAATTGTGTAAAGCCATTTCCGACATATTCGAAAAAAATCCCGTTGATTATCGGATGATTGTAAAGAACCAATTGAAGCCAAAGAGAAACTTAACTACACAGTTCATTGCTTCTAAGCCTTTTATATGGTGCGAGCATAATGTAAGACGTATATGGATATTATGTATTCACACTGCGAGAATTTGAGTCGCCTAATTATTAATCGTACTGAAGTCATACATGGCACAATTTTTAGCTTGAAAGGAACGTTCACATACTTGTACTTGTACAAACCGGAGTTTACAAGAATAATAATTGATTACGAATTAACATGTTGAATACAAAACTGAAACACAAGTTGAAAATTAGATGTAATAATAATTAGTAATAACCAGTAATTTGTTTGATAGTTTGAGTAGCTCCCAAGCTATCCTAACACTATGAAAGATACGAAGAAATTCCTTCATGGAAAACACAGAAAACACACATTCTATCTGTAAGCAAAGAAACCAATAGTTAAACACTATCAAGAAGTTGCGACTGAATAATTGATGAAATAAAAATAGTTTAAAATGTAATCTCTAGTAATCTCTTCGTAACGGAAGTTCTTAAAATCGTAATAATAATAATAGTAACAACCTCATCAATTTTTGCCTCAGTGTTCACATGCAAAGCGAAAAATGTGTGAGTGGATTGGTCAGAGACATACCTTTGACATACATATCTATTATGAATACACTTTTTAATATGAACAAGATAATTGGCCATGAACTTGTCTTACATTTGACATCTAAATAATGCCATGAAAGGACATCGACAGCTTGTCAAAAGATAAGTTCGACCTTTTGACGGCAATTGGGCAGTTGGATGAAGGAATTGAATTGAAGAAATACCCTAGTTATGTATGTTATTCGTATGTTATTCGTAAATATGCCCTGTCTATCAATTACAATTGACGACTTTTTAATATTGTAAATGTTTCTAAGTGCCTTACCTATTTTTAAGTCCGAAGTATGTATGACTAATGCGTCGTAACTAGCCCTAATATGGATAGCTTTTTCTTCCTGTAATTGTTCCAGGCAAGTTCCAGGAGCAGTACCATCAGCGCCAGAAAGTAAGCAAGTAAAAGCGCTATAAAGAGTGGGGCAGCATATTCCATGCCGACATTGATGACATAATTGCTGGACAGACAATGCAGCTTTGACTTTGTATAGTAGCGACGATGTTTTATTATGATTCCACTCTCGAGCATGCGCACCTGCACTTGCTTAAGGAGTTCTCTGTATGTGGAATTTATGTGTATGATGCTATAAAGCGTGGTCTCTGAACGAAATGATATTTCATTTAGTTCGCATATCTCATGGGGTAAATAAAACTTTTCCATAAAATAATAAATAGTCGAAACTTCTGAAATGAATACAAATCCTGGCTGATCCCGCACCCTCAAGACGCCATCCACGGGTATAAGTTCAATGCTCGATAGATCGTGCTGCTTTGTGTTAAATTTCTGTTTGACCAAGCTTTGAATATCGGCACGCGGGGTGGACTATTAAGTAAATCCAAATTAGAGAAGTTCACTTAAATACGCTGAAATAACAGACTACCTTTAAATAAACTTTGTTGTAGGCTATGGGCTCATAGCCAACATCTAGGGAGCTATCAGCTAACTGCTGTATAGACTTGATGTTGGAACGCACCGGAGATCCCAGAAGTGTGGATACCACAATCGAAGTGTAATAGTTATACATTAGGAATGAAGTAAACATCAAGGCTATGAAAGCCAAACGGCCGCCCGTAGAGCGTGGTATTAAATGAGAGCCCTGAATGCAGGCAGCACCAAAGCTAATTAAACAGCTAGTCAATAATGAAGGTACAAAGTTCAGGCAGCGCTGCAGCCAGCGTGCCTCCATGTGGAAAATAAGCCATAATAGTATACCAGCCAGCAAAAGTAGCCCGCCAAATACAAACCAGACGGTAGGCCTGAACGGCGAAAGGAAAAGAGTGGCCTGGATGCCGGCATTGTGAGGGGTGCGGAAAATACAAATCGACCGGAACTGACTAAGATCGGCAAGTGGTCTAATATAGGTCAGTCGATTGGATGAAAGCACAAAAGGTGAGGTGATAAAATCGACTTGTTCATTGACCAGAGCGCCAATGGATCCTCCAATATAGTCATTGACGCTCCACGTATCGCTCCAAATGTATGTAATGCTAAAATAATGAGATAATTTTGAAAACATTTAGGCTATATTGCTTGCCCTTACTTAAAATGGAGCACCTCTTGAATGTGCACGAGCACATGATAGCCCAGACGGGACACCCAATCCAAATGAGGGGACTGCTCACCACTTAGAAAGCCTAACAATGCTTGATCGCTTGAGTTTAACGGCAGCTCCGTCACCTATAGAATAAAGTATGTGATAAATCTGGAATGTATAAGTACTATATATCTGGGACTTTTACATACCAATGCAGACAGTCGTATGCTAACACCGCTTAAGTCCATTCTCTGCTGCAGTCGAGCGCGTTTATATAAATCACTGCGATAAATCGCCACTTCGCATTCACTGCGATTACATTTCACTGTCTGATCTATGGTTATGTTCAGACGTCCTCCCAAATGACTGCCTGGATTGTACACATCGTATAGTGTGTAAAAGGTGAACTCCTTCTCTTGCTGCTCTAGTTTTACGAAAGTGACATCCGCATTTATGCCGAGATTTGCCCGCCCAAGGAGTTCGCTAAGTTGTGCCAAATCGCCAAGCTCGTCGTATAGCAACCAGTGAAAATGATGAGTAAAGAGGCGAGCGCTGCTGGACTACGGATGCGAAATAAGTGTAAAAATACAGATATTGAAAAAAATATTAAAATATGTTGTTAATTCCTTCATGGATTGTTGACTGATTTTAAAATTGACTTTAATAAATGTATCAGCGCGAATAAAGCACACTACAATACTTTTTCATTTCAAATTTATTTTTAAAATGTATCCAGTTGTGCAGGCCAATTCATAATATCTATGTTTAATTAAATTAACTCTAAGTAGCTTCACATGCAACGAAAGTGATTTTATTATTATTAGTTATCTTGATTCTTACATGGTTTGTTATATAGTCAGCGTTTTCGCAGCCTAAATCCAAGAAGACCCCTAGCTTCGTAATTTTGTCATCTAAATATCTTTTATGAAAATTGTCTATAGCCTGCGAGCTGTCCAGATTTATATACTGAGCATAAATTGGTCCTCTGGATAAAACATGGGGCAGAGGTTCCAATGCTGCAAAGAATTAATTTGTACATTTTTTAAGTACGCTTTATATAAGTTTTTTATAAGTTCTAAAGTTTAAAATCCAAATACTGAGCGTAATTTGTACATAAAATTACTCTAGGTATATGAAAAAAATTGCACACAGGCCTTGTATATATGTATAAAATCTTTAAAATTTAAAGTTTAAATCGATTATTTTGCTTATAGATTAAAACATAGTTTTAAGAACATTATATTCCTTTATATGTTGTAGGAAAAAGGTCTAAGGAAGTATTTTTATATAATTTTTTTTTTTTTAATTTACTTATGGATTTATCAAAATTAAATCACTATTTTGTTTTCACCACGCCTTGTGGCAGAGAACACAAATTTTTGGAAGTTAGAGTAGTATTTTAATTTTTAATCAACCATACTCTTTGAATTCCAGCAATGAAAAACAGCCACATCCTGCACCTTATATTGCACCAAATTATATAGAATAAAACTGAACAAAGGGAACTGCAACATTTTGTGTCTTACTGTTTGTTGGCACACCAGTTTTTGGCTTTTATAGTCGCTTCCGTGATAAACCCAAAATAATTTAAATGTCAACTTGAACTGAACAACCTCACACTGGGCCAGAAGCCCAATATTTTGGCAACAACTTAGGCTCCTTTAATAAATTAGGTAGGCTAAGCCCGTGCAATTTATTATTTACAAATTACTTCCATAATCCAGTGCATCGATCTTTTTATACTCTATAAAAATCTACGTTCACGTGTTGATAAGTTTGTATGAACAGGTTTTTTAAAAAGTATATATGCGCTTTTCATGAAAATATCTTAATTGTTTTTTTTTTTTATTTCCTATATTTATATATATTTATTTATTTAATAAATCAACAAGTAGTGCTCTCGATACACTCTAATGCTATTAGTACAATATATATTACCATATTATATATTTTATTAATTAAATTAAAGATAAGTTTTCATATAACGTTATAATTTAAACTTAAAATATGAGAACGCCCAAGAAAAAACTGTACAAAAACTGTACAATTTTATTTACCATATGCCCCTATTCACCGGTATATGTGGTCAGAGGCATTATAGACCTATATATCTATCGAACAGTAATCAAGCAGTACTTTAAAAAGCTGTGCTCTTCAGCTCAGTCAGATGCTGCTGTCTTGGCAAGGTGTAATTTCAGAATATTATTCATGTAGGAAAGCTTCATTTTCCAAAGTTTCTTATTATACAATAATATTTTTTTGTTCTTATGCTTAATATTTAGTTTTTTTGGCCCACTTTGCAGATGTCAAAATATTTGGGCAGCAGCAATTTTGGGCAATTGCTCAATTAAAAGTAATTATCCAACCTGCTGTCAGTCTGAATTGTCCTTTTCGAATGCAACAAGTGCTTGGCAATGAGCACGTGGATGATTTCTCGAATGTGGGCGCCTGCGCATGGTATGTAAACAATACTGATGGGTTTGTTGGTTGCCCAACATCTTGGGGGAGACGGGGGTCCACGTATTTATGAATGAAGGCAAAGCTCTGCCGTCGGCTACAATGCTGCCAACATCGCTGTCCGCGTCTCTGCCACTGTGCGCTGCGGTGTTAATGGATTTTTGCTATGATTTACTCGTAGCTTGTGTGTCTGCCAAACACTCACGACCCCTCCGAGCCGCTGGGCCCCGATGTGTGGGTGCTGGCCTGCCTGTTCCTCTGTCGCCTGTGATTTTGCGCCTTTTGCATGTTTGTGTGTCTGGCGGCATATCTCCGTGTCACTGCATGTGCATGTGACTGTGACTCTGTGTGTGTGTGTGTGTGTGTGTGTTTGTGTTAGTCTGCGTGTGGTTCATGCTGTCGGCGTATCCTGCTCCTGCCCATGTTCCTTGCTGCACAATTCAATCTTTGCCAACGGTTTTAACGTTTCAGTTTGCGTTGCGCGCTTGGCGCGTCTCGACGTGTATTTCGTGACCATTTATCGTTGCTGCTTTTCTTATAAAGCTGCCATTGGCCGCCGTTGGCAGTAAAATTTTGTTGTTGTTGATTTCGGTAGTACCGTTGTTATTGTTGTTGTTTGTCTTATTGTTATTTGTATTTCCGTCAACGGGTTTGATGCGCGTACTTATCGGCGACAACAGCGTTTGGCCTCCAGCCAGATGTATGTATGTACAAGTATGTACTGTAAATGCATACAAATGTGTAAATGGGTGAAAATTAAATTATTATGCAGAAAATAATTAATAATTATTACTGTGTTGTTACCATTTTTGCTAAGCATGAGTGATAATTAACAATAACTGTAACTGATTAGTAAACTTTTATATTTTTAATTTAATTTATTTTACATTTAATATCAATATTCATATTTTTATTACCAATCATTAATAATTTATTAAGTTATTTTTATATTAAAGTAATTTACTAACAGTAAACAGCTATTAAGCATATTAATTTATAGGGTTATTCAAAATAGACCAAATAGACACCAAGTGCTTATATTTCGTATTTATAACAAAAAAACACTGGACATTCTAGTCAATTTTTTGCTCACCTGTTTTGCCTATAACCTTAGAAGCAAATTCTTCAATATTATTTCGTATTTCGTATGCGTAATGCGTATGCGTAATTAGTAGTGCTAGTGTCAGTGTTTGTGTGTTATTTGTAAAAGCAAAAAATTCTAGCAAACCTGCTGAGATTACCCGATTTTAATTGAATTCAGAGCTAGGGAACTATAAGTTTTGTTTATTAGGAATTGTGGACAGTTTCGTTCAACTAGACATAGCGACGGATAAAAAGAGTCATTTTTGTTTAAAGTAATTTCAAATTTATGCGGGCTTTAAGTTTAAATTTAATTTTTAGTTCAAAATTGTTAGATTTTAAAATAATTGAAATCTAATGATTTAAAAATGAAAGCTGGAACACAAAAGGTAAGTCCTTCTGTAATTCCAAAATGTTTTGGACTCAGCATTCATAGAAAAGATTGAAAATTTTTGTATTAAATCATAACTGTATTTTATATATCTCTAAAAGAACATGCATTTAAAGAATTGACTTTAAAAGGTGAAACCAAGTGCATATTTAAAATGTTATACTCTTGATTTTGGCCTTAGAACTAAATATGAAATATTCCTATAATATTCGATTTGAAGCTGCAAAAATATGCAAGAAGCATTTCAATTATAAAATAAATATCAATACCAAGGCATAAACTCAAATATCTAAAACTGTAGGCAAAGGCGTAGGAAATAAGCATCCATATAATTTTAATTATGTTTGTGAAACGAATCGCCATTTAAAATTGAAACGGTACAGATATTTAAAAAAAAAAATAATTTTCTGCGAAAGCTCTATAGAATATGCAATTCCGATTCGGCTAAACATAAGACATTAACGAACTTACTTTTAAATGATAAAGCCTAGTTCAAAAGTTATCAGAAGAAGAAGTAAAGGAAAACCATTTTCAGCTCAGTAACTAATATTTTCTTTTCTTTTTTTTTAAGTTACGTTTGAAGCTTTTTTATTTCATTCTAAAATACATAAGCCACTTAAAATATAAAATCTTTTTATATATAATAAGTAGTATAATAAGAAAAGTTAGCCACACAAATTAGGATTTTGCATTTCCAAATTATACATTTCAATCAACAGTAATCTAAAACAAACTATCAACCCAATTAAACGGCTCTAAATATAACGGTCAAAAATGTATACAAATAATTTGCACCCGAGCATATTCAATATCAATCGGAATGTGGTGAACTGAAATGTACTGACTGAAAAATTTAAAGCATGAAGTATGCAATAGAATGCGGTTGTTGTTGGCGCTTTTGCGACTAATCATATTTTAAATGCCATGAAAATAAAGTGCAAATAAAATGACATTATCACAGATTTAACAGCACATTAGAGAATTGTAAATGTGGTCAGAAATAGAAGGGAAGGAATGAAGCACATACAAAAAAGAACAAAATCGATTTACGAACGCTGGCCATATAAATAAGCCACAAGCGATTTTGGTCCGCGGTTGTCCAAATCATTAACAAAACTATTAACTATGCTGGGGATTTTGGGAATTGATGCTGCAATGCTTTCCCCTATTGTCAAAACTGCTGCAGAAAGCTCCTCCTTGCTGGCTTGGCTAGCATATAGATTTTAATGACATGCAAAATTGTCGATTATTGGTTTAAATAAAGGCAAGAGTATAGAGCGCACGCAGAAATTATTGTGGCAGCAAAGCCAAGGGACCAGCACATAAATAGATTTTTCAATTCAATTTTTTGTGTCAAACGCGTTTTAGGCAACGCGTTAAACTGACAGCAGCAGGGCACGGTGCAGTTTCTCTATAGCCTTGGGAACGGCATAAAATATGTGGCAGTGCGTTGGTAGCATTTAATATTAAGCATAATTTTCAATATGTAATTCCAATCCAATTATTAGCAAAATGGTATTTTAAGAAGTACTAATAAATTAAATAACTATAATGACTTTTTAGCGAACAATTAATGGAAAAGAGAAAAATAAACTAATAAAAGAAAAGAATAAAAATTATGCCTCAATAGTCCAAAAAATATCCATAAAACCCGCATATTTACCATAAGAGGAACAATTAAACACTGCTGCTATTTTTACTTTCTCCATAAAACATGAAATAATCTTTATAATTTATAATATATAACATATTATATTTTTAAATTGAATTCCCATCTCTCAAAATTGATGAAAAAAGCTTAGGTTGTAAGCGACATGGATTGAAAGACTTTTTGAAAGCATTTTCTAACACTGGTGGATTTTATTCCTTATATGCTTCTAAACACATAAATTTGGTTTCATTATTTCTTAACATTCGTTTCGGTTCCATAATTTCTCAACACTTAATCCTTGATGGTTCCGTGTCGGTGCCATTTATTGGATTTCCAATACTGTGTTGTAAGTTTTCGAAGCTAATTCAACTCTCTTTTCGACAACATTATTACTTTCATTAAAAACAATTTAAAGCTATATATTAAAGTGAACATGCTAATGCAGAGGGTATCTTATAGTCGACCTACTCTACTCGAGCAATTTTCGGTTTTTTGCTTTTCACAAACTGTGCAGCTTTTATTTCAATTTTTGTATACATATATCCTACGTTTTTGACCGTCGCTGCTTCATGTTGCAAACAAATCTCAAATAGAAAAATGCAAAGCAGCTGGGCAGGCAGCGAAGTATCGCACTCTTGAGATTTACATTGTAAAGTGAGCGCGTTTCTCGCTGTCTACTTGTCCGAATCTAGCAACGAATATAAATACATATGTAACAACTATGTATTACTGTTGCGTGTGTGCATGATACTCACAAAACTGCATTTAAATTAATTGAATTTCGCAAATTTTTTTGTTGTAGCAACAGCAACAACAAATATGGATACAGAGCTTTCGGCCTCGCCTCTTATTGAATTGGTTTGGGGATTTGTTAGTTGACCCAAAAGTCAAGTCCGCAAATTTACTTAAGAGTCGAATGTAGAATGTTCATATATGTACGTACTATATACAGTAAGTAAGTGCAAGTATTTGGCTTGTCAATGCATTCTAAGTGCCAGTGCGATGGTTCCAAATGAGAGCAGGATATTTTTTCAGGCGTTTGGATTACACTTAAGTTCATTAAATTTGCAACTCACTTAAAATGGTTTTGTGTGCCAAAATGCTTTCTGTTTCTCGGTCACAGATTGCCAATAATGCATGATATCATATGATGTGCTAGCACTGCAAAGATTTCAATGTCACACAAAACATAAATGCAATGGCAATGCGTGTACTTTAAAGGGCAGAAACTGACCGTAACTTATAAAGATAGAAAAGTATTCACAATTATTTTTGACATTTTCTCACTATATTAGTGCTTTTTAGTAATTGATGTAAGTCGATTAAATAAAGAAGGTTAAGATATTCTACAAAATTTACAATTTTCTCATATTTCATTGACGAAATATTTTAAGCTAAACATTTTGTTGAAATATATGCGTACTCTACAAAACAGTTGTATACCAACATTTTATGTGAGCATAAATTCGAAATAACACTCTAAAGCACATATAATGTACAATGAATGCAAAAAAGCTTTGATATTTAAAAACAAGAAGCGTTTGCAATAAATAAAATAGCTTAAAACTTAAATTTGAAAACCTGCACAAATAAATATTATGACAAGTACTAGTTAAAGATAATCGAAATGATTTCCCATTTGGTGGCGGCAGCAGTTTTAAATGAATTATAAACTCAGTCTCCACATTTCCTACATTTGAATCATACATGTTTATCGAGCAATGTCTGCGAGTCTTCACTGAGCTGCAGACAATTCGGCTGGGATGGCGGCACGTGCAAGTGGCTTAACTCTAAAATGATTAAAACAATTGCATTAGTAGTAGCAATGAGCCAACAACAATAAAAAACAACAGCACAGCGAAAGAAAAGACCAAACTTGAGCTCATTAAAATGCCGTCAAAACTTTGACAAAAACTCGCTTCAACCGCAAAGAAGCATGCGAAATTTGACTTTCATTTTAATTAAATTGCAATTTTTTAAAGCTACTTAAACTAACTAGAAAACTTGTGGCAAGCTGACAAAAAAGGCATTCAATTTCACACGCTCCCACACAAGGCTCACTGGAGCTGCTAAAAAGTGCATATAGTGCATAATGCTCGTAAGTATAGTCCTATAGTCGCATAGTGGTGGCAGATTGAAATGCACAACTCATTTGTAAACGTTGCGGGCTGGCAGAAATGGCACAAAAAGCATCGAGCAAATAATGCCAAGCGTTCGGTCTCTATATAAACCACCTGCTGCAGCATTCGTACAGCAGCTTGTCTAGTAAAATATATGAAGCAGACTATGCTGCCTCCCCTGTGGACATGTGTGTGGGCGAGTGCTTAGAACATAACAATGCAGCCCAAAAAACTATGCTACACTTTTGCTGGTTTGCCAGTTAGAGCTTGTGGGTGTGTCTGTATCTGTGTGTATGTGTGTATATATATATCTATTTGTCTGTCTGCTTACCAAGGCAAACCCAAAACGACAGTCTAACTGTCAGACTGGCAACGGAAGGCAAGTCAGGCCAGCCATCCAAACAGCGAGCGAGCAAACGGCGTCAGCCTTCAAAAATTGAGTGCAATTTAGACGTTGATGAGAAAATGCGTTGAACGTGCTCAAGTTGTATTTTAACCCCTTTGCGTCTTTCATGTTAACAAAAGCACCAAGAACCAAGCACCGAGCACCAGCCTTTTCATACGAAAAGGCAACGAAAAAATGTCAGAAATTAGAAGTAAGAGAGCTTCCGCCTTAGCTCGTCCTGATACTGGACTCGGTTTTGTTCTCTTGTGCTTGCTCCAAAAGCAATTTGTTTGTTTGCCTTTTGACGAAATAACGAAAGGAACCCATTAAGTAGTAAAGGGTGTTGCTCGGATTACATTGAATAGCTTCAGTTATAAAACCTCTAATGCAGTTTATGAGAATTATTAATAAGTGTTGGCAGATCCAAATTAGCTAGAATGAGACGTGTTTGACAAATTTTTTATGGGCATATCGAGTTGCATTCAAATTAAACCACAATATGTTATAAGTGCCCTCGAAACTATCAGTCTAAGAAGTTTTAATAGTAAAAAAAAATGTCAGATTTATGTTGCTATACTATAAGATGACGATCAGCTATAAAAAGATGGAACGGAAATTAAATTATGTATGGATATAATTGGGAAGAATTCAGAAGTGTTTAAAGCGAAAAATTAAATTTAATAATTCTGTATAGTTGACGGAGATCGGAGAAACCATAGTTTCGCTTATTGATGGTATTAGTTTAACTTTGAGTGTTTGAGTTTCTTATCCTTTTATTTGATGATATGGCTAAATTTTATGGAAATAGTTGAAAGCGTAATAAATGAGTTGCAATTTAAATTAATTTGTATTATATATTGTGTGATTTTGTTAGATATGTTAAAAAAGGGGATGTAAGGCATCGTAGCTAGAAAAACTTCTTACAACTATAGGATTATTTACATTCCATTAATAAATCCAAAAAATTTTAATTTAAATTTGTAGCATTTTTGATAATTTCCTTAAACTTTTGTCATGCTTTCATGCTTCTTACATACCTTGCAACTTTGAAGGGTTCTTGATTGTAGGTCGTACTTAGACAAGGTGACTAAAAATATTGCTAACTTATAGATACATAGTATATTCTTGGGCAGCCACATAATTAGCAAACATAAACATACTAACTAACGCAGACTAGGAAAGTGCCACAGCATTCGCCAATGACGATATCAACGTCAGACTTGAAGGAAAGGCAAAATGAAAGTAGCCACAAAATAGATGCGACAGTCTAACCAATTGGGTAGCCATTGAGCAGCCACCCACCACTCAGTATTGAAAATAGTTATCGCAACTTGAGCCCGACTTGGAGACGGAGAGACGTGCAATTGGGTTAGTGGGTGAAACATAATTAAATTATGTGTGGCACGGTCTATGACTGAGCGACTATATCGGCAAGGCTTGCATCTCCTTCATTGTTTTTTACGTAATTAGGCGGGTTGCCTTGGCGTTGGCCCAGCTGCAATTGTGTGCCAATATGGGCTGACAAACAACTTTGACGTTGTCAGCACTTATTGGTTAAACTGTGGAGGCTGCTTACTGTTGATTGCAGCTGATTTTTCAAAAAAGATAATCTGGATGTCTATATTTACATGCCAACATATAGTACATATAGAAGACATTTATTCTCATTCAATTCAATAACTTGTTATCAATTAGATCAAGGCAGTTTATTGTGTGTAAGAGATAGCCTTGTTCAGAACTTGAAGGATAATTCTGATGGTTCAATACTCAATTGCTTTGACTTTAACTACAATTTCTGTAATAGCTATATGATGGCGGAGGTATTTGAAAGCACACTGTCTAGCTTCAACCTTCTAGTATATTCTACTTATAAGATTTTATAAGAATATATTGCTAGTCTGATTTTGATGACACTGATACACTTTCTACAACCAGAGTGTATGTTTTGACAGCATTCATGCTAAGAAACTATGTTGTTTAGAAACAAATAGATTAATATATTGCATGTCCTCCTGGGACTTATACCCTCACACTATTATTATATTTTTTATTATAGCCAAGTACACTAAAAACAAATAAAACATCATAAATCCTTGCAACCAGCAGAATAGTTGCTCTTTAAGATCCATCCAATGGGACGACTAAAAGATAATACAAGTAAAACGATTTTTGAATACCCTTTTACTCATGGAGTTAAGGGCCTTGAAACAAGGGCAATTAATTTTTTACGCTAAAGACTATTTGTAGAAACTCTACTTAATCAGGCAGCCAAACAGCTCGCCATTTTAATTCATTTATGTAATATGTACGAGTACATATGAACATATAATACAAATGTCTTTTCCAGCAAGCGTGTTATAAACCGATAAATAATATTTCGGCCATGCCTTCCAGATGTTTTCAACATTTCATTTTTTAAAAGAAACTCATTCTGCCAACATTCCTTGCGGTTATTAATCTTCGTTGGCTAACAGACGGAAGCGGTTAAGGCCAATATGCATTTATTACGCATACGCCATGTTGTACACGAATATTTAAAGGCACTATTAAATGGCTCAGATTTAAGTAGCTTCCCATTTAAATAAGTAAATCTTACCCAACATTTTAAATATACTTGTTTTTATTAGCTACTTAATACTCAATAAAAATCTTTATGCTATTGGTGGATGTTATTTGCAGACCATAAGAGTTTACTGCCGTGGAGAGGCAATCTTCAACTGAATTGGAACTATTTAAGCTATTAACAGCTGCTAATCAAACTGCCAAGTTCAGCCTTCTGGCTCAACCGACTGCGCTGCAGCCTTTAAACAAGACAAAAGAATCAAACAAGTCAAGACAAACGGAACTAATGCGGCAACAGGACAAGAGTCAGATACCGGGAAATTAAGAGAAACGTTTCTGCTCCAGCACTGGGCTGGCTGTGATATGATGGGCGCTTGATGAAAATGCAGCCAACTTCCGGTGCATAAATGAAAATAAATAGGAGCTCTAACAACAAAGGCAAAGAACAAAAAGTGCTGCAAGTCAAACGAAAACTGTCATGAACACGGTCACGACCAGTTGACCGGCTTGGATGAGAGCGACAAATGTTAGACCGAAACGGATGTGTAGATTAGGGAAGCAGTAGAAGAAGGAACGATGTCCAAACAATAAACGCACCAACAAAACAAACAACAAATATTTATACATGCTACAACAAACTCTAAACAATATGTGCACAACAACATCCGGCAATGCGCCGGCTGACATCATCAGCGGCAGGAGTTACAACAAGGACGACAGCACCAACAACATTAGCAGGAAAAATAACAATGCTGCCAAGGAGTCACAGTTGCGTCTGCCGCAACGTTTAAACTTGCGCATATTTAAGCTTTTGATTAGCTGCTCGCTCTTAATGTGCAGCATTTATTTAAATGCCTGGCAAATGTCCATCGTGGTGATGGCAGGCAGCATCAAGGGACGTGGCGACACGCATCGCATCGCTGGGGGCACAATTGGTAGCCCTGACGTGACGAGTGTGGCACGATCCTGGCTAACACAAAGCAATAATCATGCGAATATATCTGAATTATTGGATAATTTGCTGCGTGGCTATGACAATAGTATTCGGCCGGATTTCGGTGGTAAGTAAATGATGATTTAATTTCTAATGGACTAGATTGTTCTTCAAATATGATACCTTGATACTAAATACTTGATACTTGATAATCCTAGAGCTAAAAAAAAAGAGTATTTAAGCATGTCTACTTCAATTAAGATCGAAACTAAGAAAAATTCATCATGAATTTTCAAAATTCAGCCTGCATTTTTATTAATGCCTATAAGCATAAAATTACTTCCATTGTAAGAAATAAATAATATTAAGTAGGTATGAAACCCCCTCTCTACCTTATCTTAGAAATGCGGAATTTAAC